AGAATCAGCTCTACTGTCTGCATGTAACGCTGCAGTCATGAACGTTGATATCTACCTTTTGATTCAGTGGTTCTGTGACCTCAATAAAACTTTAGGGCCTCAGAAGTCATTTTGTTCAAAGCTGTCCTTTGGTAACTTGAGGATCTGAGATTCTAAGAGGTGAGAGGACTTGCTCCACTAGACACAGGGCAGAGCCAGGATTAAATGCCAGATTCCCTAATACCTCACCCCATGCCTTTTCCTCTTCACAACTTCATACGTCCACAACTGACCCTGACCCGCCTTGGCCTCGTGGCAGAAGTGCGTTACATTGTATGCAGTTTGCCTTTAATACTTCATGTGAAAACCCCATGAGGGCAGGGGACTTTGTGTCTTGGTGTGTCTCAGCTCTAGAAAAGTGCCCAACACATAACAGAGCCAAATAAATATTGACTGAGTCAATTGTGTGTGCATGTTTTCCATAACCTTGGTCAAGGCAAACTCTTTAACGATCAAAATTCTGAGACAGGCATAAAGATGGTTTGACTGCCTACTAGACCATCAAGAACCTATGTATGTATATTTACATGCACATTCATTTAAATGTATACCTTGTAGTGGCATTCTCAGTGCGGGGTAGGAAATAGAATTAACTGGAGAATTTGTTTTGAATGCCAATATCTGAACCTTGGAGCAAAGATTCAATGTCATTTACCTGGGGTGAGGCCTAGGCCTCAGCGCCTTTTAAAATCTTCCTAGCTGATGCTCAGCCATACTAAGGGGATTATTTGTTACTTAGCATTAGAAATGTTACAGATGATTTATCATGGGAAGGAGGATTTGAGATATGTGGTTGGCTAGAAAAGAATGTAAGACTCCTGCCAGTCAGCCGCCAAATATTCAGCCCCACTATGTGCCAGGCACTGTCCTATGCCCTTTGGAGTTCTAGGCCCGTAGCAAGGGCTAGGACGCTGTCAGATACTGGGTTGGGCCACATATGGAAGGTCCTGTCGTCTGGAGACCAGAAATGAGCTGAAATCTGCTGCTAGAATGTGGTTTTCCTTTACCCTTTGTGCCGGGCACTGTCTGAGGGCCCAAATGAACAGATGGCTGTCTTCATTGCGTTTGCAGAACCACGTGGTGGTGTGTCCCTGTTGGCTGACAGGGAGGGGTTCACATGTGTGGCAGAGTTTGCATTGGCACACATTAGTGACTGCGACAAGGCACCTGCTGTCAGGTCTGGGGGGAAGACCCATGTGGCCTTTGCCTACTTCTAGTGTCGGAGGCCGCTGACAACCACAAAGAGAAGCTTCTCCTGTGTTGCTCCCAGCCGTGTGGGTGCATCTTCTACCAGAGCCCTGAGAAGAAGAGGACTTTAAATCTTGACTCTGTCCTTTAAGAAGGGATGAAAGCAGATGTCACCATCCTGCTCAAAATGGCTCAGTACTTTTGGCTTTTCCATGAGTACAGGTGATTCATTCCTTGTGGGTAGGGGAGGGAAACAACCTTGAACCTTGTTTGCTTCACTTTTATGACCTCCCTTTGGCATTTTCGAGTGTGTAACTGAACCAGGGCTTGGCCGTAGGGATGCCTACATTCCTAGTCAGGCAAAGTCAGCTACTTCTCTGAGCCAAGGAAGGTGCGTAGCAGCTGGGCCTCGGAAGGCTATTAAGAGGGATGGCAAAATGAGCAATTATGAGTGCAATAAGGGAACAGGGTGTCTTCCAAGTCAGAATCTGGCTCCAGGTCTTGGAGTCCTTCCTTTTAGTACCAAGGTAGGTGTTCTAAGGACAAGGAGGATTAATAACAATAAAATTTTATGAGCTATAAAGTGCTTTGAGTGTAGCACATAAATGAGAGTGGCTAAATGGGCAATGGTATATCTGCATATGGAAATAAATCCATGAAGTTGTTTAAAATAATAAGATAAATATGTTTGTGCTGGTAGAAGGCAATCTCTAAGACATACTATTGAATGAAAAAAAATTAAGGACCAGATCGACACTCAGTAAGGCTGCAATTAAGCAAATTTCTGATATTAATTTTTTTTTTTATCCTCACCCTTAGAGAAAGGGAAGGAGAGAGAAACAACGATCGGCTACCTCCCTTACTTGCCCCACTGGATATGGAACCAGAAACCTAGGCTTGTGCCCTGACTGGGAATCGAACCCGCAACCTCTTGGTGTACGGGATGACACTCCAACCAACTGGGCCACCTAGCCAGGTCCTGATATTTTAATTTTTAACAAAACATATTTATATATTATTTCTATAGTTAATGAAATATAATATGGAAAATAAAATGTCTGAGTAGAAGTATCTTAAGATTTGGAAAGGTGAAATTGTCCTTAGAGCTGAGCCACTGCACATGAACACGGGTGGCATCTGGGCTTGTCTTTTAAACCCTGGGTGACAGCAATAAGTGCTTTAGGCCCTGCTCCTCTGACTCTGTTTCCCCAGCTGTAAATAGGTTATGTTCTGGTTCCGCTGAAATGCATCAACACTGTAGGGAGGGGGAAGGCTCGAGGTAGCTCTGGCAAAGCTCAGGGACCATTCTCCTGCTCGCTCTGGTCATAGTTGTTGGCACTGGTTGCTAAAGGATTGTAGAACCACCTCGGAGTCTTGTCTTAACTCATCTTGATAAGAAAAGGTTATGCCTAGTCTGAGGCTATGACAAAGCCAAATGGACACATTTCAGGATTTACCCCACTAGGGAAACTTTCAGGAAGGAAGCTCCTTAAAAACAAGTGACAGAGAACTCTCTTCTGGTTAAAAAGTTGTTTCAATTTTGATGAATAGTGATTGGAGAGTACAATTTTATCTTATGTGTTGTTAGGGGGCTATATAGACCTAGAATCTTGTTCTGCAAAGCAAGTCCTCTCGTCTTTGATAACAACCTGTATCCGCAGGGGAAGGAGGGCCCAGGAGTGATTTTGCTGGCCCTGAAGGTATCTGAGGATCTGCCTAGCTTGCTCCTTTTTATACGTTCAGCCCATTCCATCAACCCTTCCGCAAGTGACATCCTTTGCAAAGCTTCCCTCAAGACTTCCTGGAGCCGTCCTTCCCGAATCAGCCAAGATTGAGGGCATGATTAGGTGACGAGAGGAAGCACGGGCATGGGGAGCCACCCTGTCCACTTTCATTTGCACCCTTTCAGGTGGCCTGAACACTGAAGAGCCTTCTCATCAGTTTCGCTTGGACCCTGAGTGGGTCGAGGTATGAACGGCCCTAGAAAACCTTCTCTGAGCTCAGCGATGCTCTGCCTCTGTTGGATGGAATCAAAAGTCTTAACCCTAGCACCCGCCTGTGAGCTGTGAATCTACAGCCAGTTACTTCATGTCTCTGTGCCACATCTTCCTTCTGTCAAACGAAAGCACTGGTCACGCTCAGATGCCGATCGCACCAGCAGCTCTGGGATTCCATATTCAACACTCATGCACCGGCCCTGGCTGGGGAGCTCAGTTGGTTAGAGTGTCGTCCCCATATGCCAAGGTTGCAGGTTTGATCTCCAGTCAGGGCACACACAAGAAGCAATCAGTCAATGAATAAATAAGTGGAACAACAAATCGATGTCTCTCTCTCTCTCTTTCTCTCTCTCTCTCTCCTACTTTCTCTAAAATCAATAATAATAAAGACTTTTAAATGACCCATGACCCTTAACACCCCCCTCAGTTTGAGTCTGACCTGGAACAAAAAGGCATAAGAAATGGTAGAAAAAGCTTACATGGCCTCTTCTTACTTAACGAGACCAGTGAACATGGTTAATGGCCGTCTCCACCTCAAGAGAACACCAGGAAATGTCCTTTAAATAAAACCCTTGTAGGAGAGAACATTAGGAGGCCAGAACAGACCTAGGCGCTGCTGGGAGGGGCTCTCTCAGCCAGTGTTTGGTTTTGGGAGTCAGTGTCTCATTCAGAAAGTTCCAGAGAAAACAACCATGGGCTAATTCGTATAAGGGGGCAGGAGAGGCGTGTTTGTTGAGGGGGTGAGTTGGAAGGAATGTAGACACAGAAGGGTCAATATAGCGTCCTAATTAGCACTCCCCTCATTAATACTCTCCTTCTCTCTTCTTTTCTTTCTTTTTCTGGGAAAAAAAAAAAGGTTTTAAATGGCTTTGAAGATAGTAACCAATTTCTCTTTTAACTATTAAGAGACCTAAATATTTCTATCTAATATAACACCTGAGAGAGGAGAATCCTGAAACAGGTCTCTTTCATCCCTGCCCAAAGCAAAGCTCTAGGCTTCTCTGGCCACGCATCTCACACTGTGCATCAGAGCGGTCTGAGTGCTTGGAAAATCCAGATTCCTAGGACTCCCCACAAATGGACTCCGAATGCTCGCAGGGGCCCAGGGAGCTGCATTTTTGACAAGCGCCCATAAGTGTCTTCCACCCATCACATCTGAGAACTTTGGCTCTATGACCTAATCAAGGTCATACCGTTGCAAAGAACTGGTCTCATATAATCTATCTCAGGGCAAACTGGAATCTTTTTTGAATAAAAACTGTTCCAGTCAGTGTGCTGTTTTAGAAGACAGTGAGCATGTCATATGCTAATTATAGCCAGTGACGCCATCAAACAAAAGTGCATTACTGAATGCTTTCAATTTCTTATAATGATGGTGAGAGGGCATGTCATGGGGCCTTTTTAGCCCCAGACATCACTTCAGAGAATTCCAACAGATATAGACAAGGGCCATGGGGACTCGGATCCTTTCCTCCCGGGCTGTTTACCCATGGGAATAGGATGTCCCGAGGCAACACTTCCCCCAAGTGAAGTGCTGATAAGTCTGGTTATCAGAAAGATATTACCGGGAGTGTGATGTGCAGGGTATTTACATTTTCTTGATAGAGTTAGTCATATGAAGGCTGACAAAGAAGGAAAAGGGCAGTGCTGTGGTGCAATATCAGCCGGCAGCTGTCCCCGGGCTTCCCGATAAATAGGATGACTTGCATTGCTGAGCGGTGTGGTCACCGCCAGAGGAGTGGCCCTCTCACATTTCTTCTTGATTCACATATTCAGTGGGGTGCCTGTCATCTCCTCCCTCTCTGCTCCCCAGACACTGAGTCTGGGATGAAAATTCACCTGCCTCTGAGTTGGCCACGAGGGGGGCGGGGTGTTACTTGGGCTCCCAGGTTGGAAGATTATCTCACCGGCCCTGGCTATATAAGCTGCCTGGTGTGGAGGCGCACGGCAGGGCCAGCCCAAGCGAGTCGCCCCGCAGGAGAAAACACACAGACGGACTTCAGGCCAACATGATGATGCTGAAAGTGGAAGAGCTGGTACGTAAGACACACCATCTTGGCGCAATGAAAACTGGTCTGCTTAGCCTTGCTTTTCATTTGAAGACTGAAATGCCCTTTTCTTTCAGGTGTGCTGCACAGGTGCTCTGCAAATGTCAGAGAGGGAAAATGGTTGGTTTATGTGATGAAATAAGTGAAATTGTAAAAAGGAGCTGGCAGCAATGAATTTTCTACATATTCCTTATTTACTATCTTTCCCCCTGGTTTTATTACTAAAGTGGGGGATCACGTGCCATTATCAAAATGCCTTAGGGAAGCAGCTCTATGGCAAGAATGTGTCTGAACACTTTACAACTCAAGGCCAAGAGTTATCAAAAGTACCTAAGATGAAATTTTGTATAATCAGAGGGGGGTTGTGATTTTCTGGGAGAAATGTGACTGAGCGGATTAAAAGTGGATTTCAGCATATCAATCTAACCTAAGCCTTGATTTCACTGAGACCGCAGGACGAGCACCTGAAGGTAATCCCAGACCATCACAGCAATGCATGGCAGCTGAGGTCTGCCAGCTGCAGAGGCGGCTGTCGCCAGGGAGGACCAGAGACGTCCTGCAGCATCCTCTGCAGACAACGACCCCAGGTCAGGCTCTGCGACTTCTGACCCTGCCATCTCCTTCCCTCGTAGGTGACAGGGAAGAAGAATGGCAGTGGGGCCACTGGGGAGTTCCTTCCTGAGGATTTCACGGATGGAGAGTATGAAGCTGCGGTTACTTTGGAGAAGCAAGAGGACCTGAAAACACTTCCAGCCCACTCCGTGAGCCTTGCGGAGCAGCAGTGGAAAATTGAGAAACAACGAGAGGCAGAGGTAAGAACCTTCCGTGGAATCCACTAGTAGGAGGTTGGGGATGGAGAAGGGAAAGGAGGTGCCAAGCAGGAAGAAGCAAAGAGAGAAACAAAATAAATGCCACCATTCCAAAGATGTTTCTTTACCAAATATGAACTCTTAAAGAGGCAACATCTATTGGACAGGTTGTGGGAAAGAATTCTTGGGCAAGACTATGTCCTCCAGGTTCTGAATCAATGATTGAATGTTCTTTGACCATGTTGTGATTGACAGGCTTGGAAAGAGAAACGTGTCCAATAAATTTCTGATGTCATATGTGTCTAGTTAATCCCAAGCAAGAGACATCTTTTTCTCACTAATGTGATTTGTGGTCCATGGATCATTGTTTGACTGTGTCTACTATCTGTGTTGATAAGGTCCATGCTGCTGGGTGAATTTTCATTCCTTCCTACCTGCAGATAAAACATGCATGAGTTAGCTGTAGTCCCATGACACTGTGTTGCACGGGCTCTGCCTAGTGGACCGCTGGAAGAGATTGGCATTGATATTTCAAAGCTTAACAGTCATTATTGGATTCTTTTGGGTTAAAAAAAATTCTTGAGTATGATAAAAAAATTTCTGCAGAAATCTGGGGTTTGTTTGTGGCAGTAATTACAATATCATCACTTACAGACTAGATCCTATCTTCAATTAGTCAAAAACTGTTACTACATGCAAGAGAAGTGAAGAGGAAGGCAATTCGTTAAAAAAAATCAGACCCCTCCCCCCGCCAAATCCTTGAATAAGAAATCACTAAATAAAAACCAAACATTAATTTAAAAAAATTTTTGTGCTCAAACTGTTCACACACTTATCTCAGACCTTGCAGATTTTGTTTGGGCAGCACCAGAATGCTTGTCAGGAGAACTCAACGTGTTTTGAAATACGAGCTTCTTTTTCAGCTCAAGAAGAAAAAACTAGAACAAAGATCAAAGCTTGAAAATTTAGAAGACCTCAAAGTGATCATTCAACTGAAGAAAAAGAAAAAATACAGGAAAACGAAAGTTCCCGTTGTGAAGGAACCCGAACCCGAAATCATCGTAAGGGCGATTTGGTTGTGTGGCATTGCGTGTCCGGTGTGTGTGCGACAGGGGAATAAATATCTGTGCAGGGCTTGGCTGAGTGTTGGAACGCTCACGCTACCTCTCGCCCTATTCTGATTTTAGACAGAACCGGTGGATGTGCCTCGGTTTCTGAAGGCTGCCCTGGAGAATAAACTGCCAGTAGTAGAAAAATACTTGTCAGACAAGAACAGTCCAGATGCCTGTGATGAGGTAAGGCTTACACAAAGCACTGCAAAACCCAGCTCATTAATTTTGTGTTTCTTATGCTTTATTGCAGCCTTGCTAACATGGTGCCAAAAATCAGTCCACCTGAAACAGTTTCCCCAGCTGTGGCCACATATGCCAGCAGCACACCAGGAGAATACAGTGGTCCAAAAAGAAAAAAAAAAGCTGGATTAGTGTTATGGATTGAATCCTTTTCTTGCACTCATATACTTCTGGCTGATTTTTCACTCGTCTTGAACTTCTTAGATTCTTGGGATAGACTTTTAATAAGGGAAGGCCAACAAATGACCTTTGCAAAAAACATATTATTAGCATCATCTCTGATTGCACCCAAGCACATTAGCTCTAGAAAGGGGATTTAGAGATGGAAGTGCAACTGCTCTATCATTACTTTGCTCCTTGATTTTTAGCAGCTAATTGGCATTTTCTGGACCCCAGTTTCCTTATCTGTAAAAAGAGGGCACTGGAGTGAAATAATGCCTAAAGTTGTTGCAGCTTTAATAAGTCTATCCACCTGTTTGTATGAAGCCAATTTATCAGAAATCACTCATCCTTTTCATATTCTTTCCCCTGTGAGCTGAAATGAGGAATCATTTCTGAAGTTGAATTCAAAATGAGTCTCCCATTTTCTTAAAATGAATGGAATACTTTTTGATATTTAACTTAGCAACAGTCCCAGAGGGAAGAAGACTGTCTGATCTGCATGACAAATACTACACAAACAACGAAGGTGCAAACTACAAAGAGGGAAAAATCAAGTTCACACCCCTCGACCTAGACTTCTAGGCACTTAGAAATGTACATTGCAGGAAGCTCAGCTCTCAGCTGTAGGATAATTGTTCTAGTTCTGCAATTTTAGTGAATTTGACACTTTTAATTCATAAAGAGACACTCAAGTTTCTATCAATTAGGTCATCAGAGTCCCCAGACCCATACTTCTTAGAAAGGATTCACGCACATTTTTATATGCATTTCTCTCTCTCTTTCTTTTAATCTCCATTCTGACAGTATAAACGGACAGCTCTGCACAGAGCATGCCTGGAAGGACATTTGGCAATTGTGGAGAAGTTATTAGAAGCTGGAGCCCAGATCGAATTCCGTGATATGGTAAATATATTTGTTTGCTTGGAAATAAGCCAAAACGTATAGACTATATGAAGCTCGAGAAAAGCTACAATGAAACACTGGGCTGATTGGGTTGGAAATTGATCTCAGAGAACTAGGTGAAAGCTTATTTCTCCATACAAAGGAAAGGTGGGAGAGGAGACGAGGTCATGTGGCAAGTATTTTCTATACATACTGAAAAGGAGAGAAGTGTTCCAGGGAAAAGAAGGAAAGTGAAAGCTGTTGAGCAGAATTCAATATCCTCATCAGAGAGTTGGGTCATTATCAAGTCAGTAGCATTACTGAAAAGTAATACAGTCGACACTTGCCTTTCAACATCCTAGTCCTTCCATTATACACAGCCGTCTGTTCGTGGCCCCTTGGCTGACAGCAATGAATCGGAATTCTCTAGCTGCATGCCTTGTATGATAGATGTCGATTGCCATAGATGTGATTTGGGGCTAGACTGCATACTAAATGAATTGCATCTATGGAAAGCAGCTGCTATCCAGACCTCAATAATTCAGCTACTGTGATTTCTACAAAGACCACTATACAGCATATTTTATCAACTGAAATTGAGCTAGGAAATGCTTCATTTATTTAAATGCAGCTCAATTTGACTTTGTAGCAAGGTGGAAAAGGTATATGAAGACTCCAAAGGACTTGGCCAAAATTAAAACCCAAAAGACACACAGAAAAACAATGAAACAGACAATAAAGTTAGCATGGAAAGACACTAACATCATGAGTGTGGGATTTGAGAGGCCAGGGATATACCACGCCGAGCAGTGAAGAGGGGATAGTCTTTGAGTAAGGGCAGCGTGCAGTGACCACACATGATGATGGGGAGGGGCAGAGGCCATGCCAGCACAAAGGACAGCCGAGATCGGCAAGAGATGAGGAACATACAGGGACACAGGAAGAGGTGTCAGATCCAAATTAAAATCTTTGGAAGCAACTACTTTTATTCTGCCAGAATTTTAAAGCACATTTGTGTAGAACTTTTGAGTATATGTACTTGTCAAAAGTGGTTACAAATTCCAGGCAGATGTGGATTTGCAGACCTGTTCTACCATTTGCTGGTTGTATGTCCTTGGGTAAGAAATGTGAATCTTTTGGAGCCTTGTTTTTCTCATCTGCAAAATGAACACAGTAACACCTCCCTCATCATGTTGCCAGGAGGATGAACATGTCTGGGGTGGGCAGCACCATGCTGGCACCAGGAAATTCTCAACAAATTCTAGTTCTTATTCTTCTTAATAAATATTTATTAGATTAAGAGTCTCCTAATGAGGCACACAGCAGACACAGAAATATGCACTCCCGTTCACACACACACAGTTGAGCTAAAACAGTTGACACAATACTGTAGTTGGAATTGGGGAGCTAGACAGGGACAACCATTGTTACCAGGTGCCCTAGCAAAGCTGGTTGTTCCTGGGTCTTAGAAACCAAGGACCAGATTCTTCTTTATGTTAAGTCATGTCCTTTTACCCTCTGTGTATAGCTTGAATCCACAGCCATCCACTGGGCAAGCCGCGGAGGAAACGTGGATGTCTTAAAACTGTTGCTGAATAAGGGAGCAAAAATCAGCGCCCGGGATAAGGTATTTCTCTTCTTGCTACAGCGCGCCCCCACCCTCCTCCTCCCTCCTCTCCTTTCCCATTTCTCCTTTCCACCTTCTCCATCCTCTCTGCGGTCAGCGGAGAGCCAATACTGTGTGTAGGGTTCAACAGGGGCCCCCCAACCACTGGCCTTGGGGTCTGGGACAGCCTCGTCCTCACACCCAGCAAATCAATAGCCGTCTTGCATTTCCCAGCTGCTCAGCACAGCGCTGCACGTGGCGGTGAGGACCGGTCACTACGAGTGCGCGGAGCATCTCATCGCCTGCGAGGCGGACCTCAACGCCAAGGACCGAGTGAGTAGTCGGGCAGTCCGGCCTCCTCGCTCCACTCCTCGTTGATTCGGGCGCATTTCCGGGCCTGGGGCCCACGTTTAGCCTGTTCACTCTGCCTCTCTAGGAAGGCGATACCCCCCTGCACGACGCCGTGAGGCTGAATCGGTACAAGATGATCCGACTCCTGATTATGTATGGCGCGGACCTCAATGTCAAGAACTGTGTAAGTGCTCCAAACAAGGGACCCATTTACAAACGCGTATCTCACGGTCTCGAAATAGTCCCACAGCGGTCATATTTCAGGAGTCTCCTCTGATGGTTTAAATGCCCCTGTCCATTCCATCTGTGCGAGCCCTGGCAAAGACTGCGTGGCCTGGTCCGAGCCGGGGCCAGCCACAGTGCCTGCTGTGACTTCAGCATCTAATATGGTGTCTAGTAATTCTTTTAAAATCTGGTCGTGAAAATAAAAGGTAGTCAACTTGCTCACCTTCACAAACACAAGTGCAATCTGCCGAGGCATCCTAGCCGAGCAAGGCCTGGGTAGACAGGGACACAGACACTCACCGTTCCTGAAGTCTAAAATTCCAGTGGTCAGTGCAGCCAAGAGTCGGTTAACTCAAATGAATCAGTATATAATCCAAGTGGTTCTGAACCGTCCTCCCCTCCTCCCAGCAGTATGGTATGCTACCACTTTCGCCTGTATTTTTGAGATAATTTCCATCTATGCTCCACTTTGGTTTATCTGCACATCCCTCAAAATAATTTCCTATATTTAGGCCCTGAAAATGCTTGTATAAGTCCCTTCTACAAGTATGTATTAATTTAGTCTCATCTGTAAGCAGGGAACATAACCAACTTCTCATGGTCCCAAATTCCCAGGCAAACATCATCTAATATAAGCTTTAAAAATATCACCCAGAGGAAAAGTTGTAAATTACTGAAAAAATAACTTGAAAGCTTTTGGAAAATCACTTTAAAAAATGAAGGAAGAGAAAATTCCAGTGATCATATAATGTGAATAATTTCTTCTCCTTATTGTATTACTATGAGACAGAGAGGGAATATTTTATCATTAAAAAATAAATAAATAAACTGGCTCGGTGACAGCAACAAAGAATAAATGCAAGAACTAGAGACTTCTGCTTCGGGGGGGAACGTGCTAACGGCAGGATTCCCTCATCCCTGATACTGGAAATGGTCTTATCTAATAATTTAAATAAAGTATCAGAAAAAGAGCAGATTCGCTAAAATCTCCAAAGCTGCAGAAAATATGATGATTTTTTTTCAGGCAGTGAGACACTACCAGCAGAGATAAATAGCATGCAGATTTGGGGAGACTGTAAGTAGGCAGAAAATTAGGAGATAGATTTCAGTGGCGGGGAGTGCAAGGAATTTATAGAAGAGCCAAAAATATACAAATAGGGCTCAAAGTTCTGTGTATCAGATTCAGACTCAGGCATAAGGGTTCTGAAACTCTTAATGTCATTGACCCAGTGGATCAGTGTTCCCCCAAAAGACCAGTAAGCTATTGGACACCGTCTTGAAAGGGATTGGAAACAACACACATGTTATTATACTGTTGTCCAAACTGTCTTCCTGTCTGCCGCTAAGTGTTTCTCAAGGAAGATGCTATAGAGATGAGAAGTCCAGAGTGAAAGTGACAGGGCCACCAACTCAATATGCACAGGGGCCAGGCAGATCATATAATAACTTACGTGGGTGGTCGCGGGAATCTGTGCACATGACTTTTTTTTTTAGTCCTCACCCGAGGACATTTTTTGATATTTTGTTCAGATAGAGTAGGAGAGAGAGAGAGAGAAACATTGACGTGAAACGGACACATCGAGTGGCTGCCACCCGCACGACCCAACCAGGGCTGGGGACAAACTGCAACCAAGGCACGCGCCCTTAGTGGGAACCGAACCCGGGTCTCTCTGGAGCTCTAACTGCTGAGCCAAACCGGCCAGAGCTGTGCACATGACTTTGAAAGGTGGAGGCTCTTCCCCAATCCAGTCCACTGTTGCTCTGCGGAACCACAAGCATCCTGCTGCCAACTCTTCTGATTTTTTTCACAGATCACAAATTCAGTTGGGAAATCTCTTACTTTCCAACTGTTGACAATTAATTCTAACTTAAAAAACAACAACAACAAAAACCCCCTAAGCTCTGTTTGGACCCAAACGAAACAGATCTCTAGACTGATTTGCATCTCAAAGCTGCCAATTTGCAGTCTTGGGGTTAAAGAGAGACTTCTGAATGAATCAAGATGGAAAAATTTAGAACTTCTCTTATTTAAAGACAAGGTGACATGGTTTTAATTCCTGTAAATATCTTGAGACATATTCAAAAGGAAAAAAAAATTGGGGTCAAAAATTATTTATTCAGACATGTCATTGATGTCACCTCCAGAAAGATAAATTTCCTGGGAGAGAGCTCCAGGTAACTAGTTGTGAAAAATCTACCCGCTGGAGCAGCAATAGTACTGAGCAATAGCTGAGTATTTAAGCCAAGGTGTTGCAGCAGCTGGGTTGCCACCAGTTTTTATCAACCAAGGAATGATTTTCCAAACGGATAGGAACTGGGGATTTTTATTAATACCTGAACTAGTCCTATAGGAAAACAAAAACAAAAACAAAAACATTGCTAATGTGAAATGCCAAAAGCATTCCCGCGAGAAACAGTGAAGACTGGTTTGAATATAAACTGCAGATCGCTCACAGAGGAAGCCTAGAACACTTCCATACCATACACCCATCCATCGCCGCATTAACACACGGGGAGAGGGGATGCATTCATAGATGCCTCCCATCTGGAAGTCAAATTCCTTCATCTGTTTTGATTAGGCTGGGAAGACCCCGATGGATCTGGTGTTACGCTGGCAGAATGGAACCAAGGCGATATTTGACAGCCTCAAAGAGAACTCCTACAAAACCTCTCGCATAGCTGCCTTCTAAGAGAAACCACCACAGGCTTGCACCGGCTGCTCCGCACCTGGCACCTGCGTTTGGAAGGCACGGCCCGGAGAGGAGCAGCTGAGTTAGAAAACCCAGCTTCCCCTTGTCCACCTGTGGTCAAGCTGCACCTTATCAAGTTTTGAGAAAGCATGGGATAGAGGCGTTGACATTTCCCTTAGCAAAACTCACTCTATTTATTTGTATTTATCCCTGTCTATTTATTTATTTATTTTTACCTGTACTCCAGTACCACTGCTGCTCAGGTCCTCTGTGCTCATCGCCTTGGTGAGCAGAGCTTCATCTGTACACAACACTCCAGAGCCTTCTTAGGAAGGTCTTAACCCAGGTCAGTGAGCAGCTCTCGGTGGCTACGGACACCTCACTCACGTAGGCTGTTTCAGGGTGTTTTTTGAAGACAAAGGTGGTTATTGCCGCCCTCTCTTCTCCTGAATTTTTATTCCCGAGGTCCGAGGCAATGGAAAGCAAAGAGTGACGGACAGAGTAGAATGGCAGAGATTCTGCGAGGACAGGAAAGCCTGGCATTTCTTAGCAAGCCACGCGCTGTGCCAAGGTGAAGCGAAGGTCGTGAGTGTGATGGAGTGCCGTGGGGGGAGTGGCCACGGGGCCACGAAGAATGGGATTTGCTTAGAAGGACAAAAGTAATGGCAAATTGTAAATGTGTAAATGTATATGGTGTCGTATGTATATTTTATATTCATAATAAAAGCAAACAAATTCTAAACCTTTTTCTAAGTACTTCTAGAAGTGAAAAAGGCCCTGTAGATGGGGTTTAGCCCTCCAAGATGTTCAGATGAGGACCGTCCTGTAGAACAGTACTTCTCAGTATTTAATGTCTACAGATCACAGATGCAGATTCTGATTCTGCCAGTCTCAGGTCGGGCCTGAGATTCTAGAGCAGCGGTTCTCAACCTGTGGGTCGCAACCCCTTCGTGGGTCGACCGACCTTTTCACAGGGGTCGTCTAAGACCATCGGAAAACACATATTTCCGATGGCCTTAGGAACCCAGACACCGCTCCTCTATCCGTCTCCAGGCGGGTCCGCCCACATGCAGATACGCCCACATACAACATGAGGAACTGTATTAAAGGGTCGCGACATTAGGAAGGTTGAGAACCACTGCTCTAGAGGTTGCTGGTTTGCCACAACCACACCTTGAGCAGCAAGGTTGTGAAAACCATCAAGATGCAAAGTGGTAAATTCTTCTGGCCCCAATGATGGGGGAAAGAGACCTCTGGTGGGCAGAAGGTTTACTGCAAGTGAAACAAGGCTCCTTAAGAAGTTCCATCAGGGGTGGACTGACTGAGGTTTAACAATCATTGTGGACAGCCGCTGGCAGTGTCAAAGGCCTCTCAGAAGAAAACACACCTGGTGAGTAACTCTGACCTCCAAGGGTTTTGTTGCCAGGTGTTGGACCTGTGATGAGAGAATCAGAGTGTCCTTGCCCTGCCTTCCTGGAATAGAGGTATACTAAGACATAAATAATCAGAAATAAATATCTAGTAAATATCTATGATAAGTACAGTGAGGTAAAGAATACAGAGTTCTGTGAGCCTGAGAGGTGGCGGCATATCATGTGATGGGGTGAGGGGACTTCTACAAAGACTTCTTTGAGGCGGTGGCTTTCAGGGGAGTCTGAAGGATGACCTGGAGTCGGTCAAGCACAGACCTTCCAGGCAGTAGAGGGAACATGGGAAAAGGCAAGATTATGGGAATAGTGTGGCACTTGAGGAAATGTATGAAGGCCAACGTGAAACACCAGCACTGGTATCCCCTCCCCCCAAAAGCTCACTCCTGACAGGATCATACACATAAACCCCTTAGCTATGCCCCTAACACTTTGAGAGGACTCAGGCAGAGTCTCTGACCAGGCCTTCCAGATAGCTGGTCGTGGACACATAGGAGGTCTGAAGTATTTTTTAACCTTTTCTATCTAGTCTGCTAACAATCCAGAGTTAACTTCCCAGGGAAACAGCTTCTTTCTGTCTCCCTCCCTCCCAATGCCCTTGACCACCCCTCTGCCTCCCTCTAGGGTCCTGGTTCTATCCTCTCAGATCCTAAGGCTCAAGGTTCTTCCATTTCTTCCAAGACGCACCAACAACACAGGCAACATTTCTCTTACCAGTACAGATGTCTCACACGGCGTCATTTCGGTGTGTTGTTATGTGACCAAGTCCTCTCTATGACTTCCTCAAGTCCCCCCCCCCCCACCCCAGGAGCTGGGAGGGTAAAGGAGAGAAGAGACGCCGAGGTTAAAACACTTTCGTGTTGCCACATACAAAGATTTGCACTAGTACAGAGGTACAGATGGCATGGAAAACGTCCCGCGGAGCAAGGACACTCAGTGAGCTCTGCTAAACGAAAGATAAACAGTTCAGGCAAAAATGTCAAGTTCTCGTCCACAGGAAGTCAACTTTTATAAGCTCCTTCCTTGTCTGCCCCCGAGCCAGCTCTTTGTCCACAATCTGCCTGTTGTCTTGTGTTTTCTCAGTGAATGGAACATTCCTTTGGCCAAGAGACTTCTGGAACTTGTTCTTTTTTTTTTTTTTTTATCCTCACACGAGGACATTTTTCCATTTTTTGTTCAGATAGAGCAGGAGGGAGAGAGAGGAAGAGAGAGAGAGAGAAACATCGACGTGAAGGGACACATCGAGTGGCTGCCACCCGCACGACCAACCAGGGCCGGGGACAAACTGCAACCGAGGTGCGTGCCCTTAGCGGGAACCGAACCCGGGTCTCTCTGTACTGCAGGTCGACGCTCCAACCGCTGAGCCAAACCGGCCAGGGCTGGAACTTGTTCTTGACATTCTCTTTCCCTCACCCCTCTTTCAACCCACCATGATGTCTTCTTACTAAATATACTGGTCTGTAATCCGTCCACTTCCTCCCATCCCAGGGGCCACTCCCTTGGTTCAGATCACCACGGATTGCTCCCGGGATTACTCAATGGCCCTTGCTGGGATCCCAGCCTCTGGTTTACTTTCCTCCAGTCTGTTCTTCAAGTTGCAGCTAGAGGGATTTTTCTAAAATGTAAATCTGGCCAAGTCATTCTGCCTTTTAAAATTCTCCAGTGCCTTCCCATTTCTCCTTAATGTTTGCTGAAATCCTTCAAATCCGACCACTGTTAACTCTATTGTCATCTATTTCTCGTTACTTTGCTAGTGCTCAACTCTAAGTGTCAATTCTACGAATTGTCAGTTCCTCAAAAACTCCTGGCACTTGCTTTTGTTTCTCCATGCTGTGCAGTTCTCTGGGTCTTCTTCTCCCTACCCCCACCCCACCGCATAATTTCTCCTCGTTCTTCCTTCGCGTGAGCTGCATTTTGTCCCAGAAACCTTCTGGACCTTTACTTAGACTTTGTTATTCTTCCCAAGTTTGTTCTTGCTGTACTTTTTTCTCCAGGTCATAACATCTATCATACTGTCCCCCAAATGAAACACTTCCTCTCTTCCCTTGAATGAGAAACGCATACTCATAAAGTATTAAGCCAATTATAGAGATGAATGAGAAAAGCAAACATCACATCAATAATCCTAATTTCATGGCACTCTGATTTTTCTGTGCACATTACATATGGGCACTGTATATTTAATTTTATAATTTTGTTTTTAGTTGAACCTAGTCTATATATCTTTATAAATGGTATTCTTATGTTGCAATGTACAATGCAACATTTAACTAATCCTTTTATTATCAGGCGTGTAGGTTGCTTCCATTTTCCCATTATTTTAGACATTGCTGCAATGAACATCCTTATCCATGCACCCTTTATGCCTAAACTGTTTCTGGAGAAATACATTTACAGGAGTATCTGTAAGATTGGTATCCAATTATACTCCTTCCATGTCATTGCCTTTCCCCACAATCATGAAAATACTCATTTTATAAATCTTTTCAACCTGATCAACAAAAGAGAAATCTATTTTTGATAACTTTTGCCTGATTACTAAAAAGTTCAGCATCTTCATGTTTACTGAGCATTTGTTGGGGTCAACCGTCTTTGCCCAATTTTCTATTAAGTCAGCTTCCCTGGAAACACTTGAAATGAGGATTCCTGTGATTTATTGAGAATAAATAGGACAGAGCGGGGGAAGAAAAGAGGCAAATATGTGATTTCAAGAGAAGTCTCTCTTCAGCCCAACCCCAGGGAGCTCAGGAGCATAACCTGCACAGGTGGGCCAACCGCAAGGGATAGGAGCGAAACTTCCCAGGCATCTCTGGGTAAGGTGTCCCATCATCCAGGACAATCCTCTAGAGAAGGACGAAGAAAAACCATTCAGTCCCACCGTCAGGTGCACCAGCCTGGTAAAGGGATCTGGGTGGACACTAACAGCATTTGGCACATTGGGTATGTTTTTTTTGTTTGTTTTTATCCTCACCCGAGGACATTTTTCCATTTTTTTGTTCAAATAGAGTGGGAGGAAGGGAGGGAGGGAGGGAGAGAGAGAGAGAAACATCGACGTGAAAGGGACACATCGAGTAGCTGCCTCCTGTGTGACCCAACCAGGGCCGGGGACAAACTGCAACGGAGGTACATGCCCTTAGAGGGAACCGAACCTGGGTCTCTCCAGTCCGCAGGCCGATGCTCTAACCGCTGAGACAAACCGGCCAGGGCACATTGGGTGTTTTTTAAAAAACAGTTTCTTAAAAGATAAGGATGCTAAACCTGTCTGGAATATGCACTGTATATGTACGTTCCTAGTAGTGCTTTTCTAACAGGTATTTTTATAGAGATAAGTCAATCAAGTTTTTGTTTTCTGGCTTTGATGACCACATTTAGGTCTTTCCTAATCCAAACCTATTATTTTTAAAACTTACATTTCTCTCTATTTTACAAGTTTTGTTTTTTTAAAAAATGTGTATCTTTAATCCACCTGTATTTACTATGGGTGTATATACGGGTATGAGATGGGGAGAAGACTTTTTCCCTAAACAATAGAATGATAGCTGATAGGTAGTAGGTACATTGTACAAGACAGGTCCTGCTGAGCCTTCCACTGATATTAATCTACTTAACCCTTGCAATAATGCCACAGGTAGGGAGAACAGATAAAGGAAGTGAGGCAAGTGGTTACGTAATTTGCCCAAGGTCACAGGTGGTTAAGTACCAGCAAGTTGGCATTTAACACAGGCCATGTCTTCAGTCTGCACTGCCCTCCCGCCTGGGCAACCCACTGTGCCAACACCACTTACCGAACAACCCACCATTTCTCCGAACCGGAGTGGTTCTGGACTCCAAACTCCTTCACTGATCTGTGAGAATTTCTGCGCCACTTGTGCACTGACTACGAGTTCTGCTGTCCTCTGTAACAGTGAGCAGTTCAAGTTCCCCCCACTGTTCTACAAAATGTCCGGGCTAGTCTAGTATTTATTCTTTCAAAACACCGAGTCTAAAAACCAAGCACATACACAAGCAAACAAAAACATAGACACTTTGTTTGGATTTTGTTAAATTCCTAGATTTAGGGGAGTATTTGATGTCTCCTTATCCAAGAAAATAGAAGGTCTCCCTCCACATATTCCAGTCTTTTTTAATTTCCCTTATTTTCATTTAAGTTTTCTTCATAGAGGTCCTATACATTTCCTGGTAGTTTATGTCTTTCTGAATAGGGTCTTTTAAATTTTTTTCTTTATTGATTTGAGAGAGGAAGGGAGGAGAGAGCGACAGAAACATCGATGAGAGAGAACATTGATTGGCCGCCTCCTGCATGCCCCCCACTGGCGATTTGGCCCACAACCTGGGCACGTGCCTGACTGGGAATCGAACTGGCGACTTTTTGGTGCGTGAGTCGATGCTCAAATACTGAGCCACACTAGCCGGACTGAATAGGGTCATCTTTTAAAATGGTTATTTTCTAAAACATCACTGTTAATTAAAACTACTAGCTTTGTCTATTTATTTTGTAACTGGCCTCTTTGCTGAACTTTTATTAAAGGCATGGCCATCTTGCTACACCTCACTCAGCAGTGGCTTATGTTCTAACAAGTACACATCAGAAGGAAACCTGCTGGCTGCTATTCACTGGTGACCGACAATCCTGCCCTAGTATTTTTTTTTTTTATCCTCACCTGAGGACATTTTTTCATTTTTTGTTCAGATAGAGTGGGAGGGAGAAAGAGGAAGTGAGAGAAACATCGACGTGAAAGGGACACACTGAGTGGTTGCCACCCGCACGACCCAACCAGGGCCGGGGACAAACTGCAACCGAGGTACCTGCCCTTAGCGGGAACTGAACCCGGTCTCTCTGGACTGCAGGCCGACGCTCTAACCGCTGAGCCAAACCCGCCAGGGCCTGCCCTAGTATTTTGAACAATGAGATAAGCACGTTTTCATAAATAAAAAGCAGGCACCATCGCAAAAACATAATGCATTTATAAACTAAAAAGCACTTGTATTTCTAATCTTTTCCAGTTGCTCCTATTATATATAGTTATATCTATAATAACTTTACCTCGTTTCGAATATAACATTAAAGTCCTCAACATTATATCTGGTGCACACTTACGTGTGCCAGTCTTTTAAAGAACGGTCAAAGCCTGTTCTTGGGAGTATGGATGCATTGATGAGAGCTCCGCAGATGTTTTTCTCGAGTACCTGTCTCTTTAAAGAAAGAACTTCAGACTAGTAAATCAGTCCAAGTGCAGAATTTTTACTGGATTTCCCCCAAATCTTAGTTATCCCGTTCACACCTTCTTTGACAGCAGTTTTGAAATGATGCTTTTTCAAACCTTTCAAAAGCATCAACTTCAGTTTTCCTGGAAATTCTTCTTTTGCCCCACATGGTTCATCAGTTCTCATAATTTTTAACTAAGTTGTATAATTGTCGAATGCTAAATACAAGGGCACAAAGACTTGTGAATAAACACACACCTAACTTTTGGGACGCCAAGCAGGGACTAGGCAGAAGCAAGCTGTCACTCCTGGCACGGGGGTTGGTAGCAGTGGCCGCCAGCTTATGGGGTAGGCTCATTCATCACATTGCGCGAGTGGTAGTCAGTAAAAAATGCTTTATTTTAGAATCATTGTGGTTAATATATACAATACATAAATATATACGAACATATTGTTGCTTAAATTTTAAATCTGGAGTACATTTTAGGTGTTATCAAATGCCTTGTTAGCATTTAAGGTGATTCTGATTTTTCCACTTGACCTATTAATATTACATAGTACATCAAAAAGAACTTATATATTCTGATTCCTAGAATAATTCTCATCTTGTCATGGTACACTGTTTTGATGGTTTCCCTTTACCAATATGTTATTTAAGTATCTATTTTCATAAATGAGATTGATATAAAGCTTTCTCTTTTTGAAATGATCTTTTCTCTGGCTATCCTTTTTCTCAGAGAATTATTTGTATCAATACAGCAAAAATGCAATTATTTGGAAAAAGAAAAGGCTACTTCTACCCAGTATAACAGTCCTGCTCTTAATTGCTCGGATATTCTTAATACGACTATCAGGGAAATCAGTACGAGGTCTCAGGGGCTTCCACGTCAAAGGAGAGAATCCTGTCTCAAGGACACAGGTGGCGAGCAGCAGAGGGGAGGCCGAGTGGTTTCAGGGGCACTTCCCTCTCCTTCCGCAAACTTATAGCAAGTTCTTCTAGAAAGAACTCTGGCTTGAATATAATAAAAGAGAGGCTTAAAACAAGAACAGATCAACTAAAAGCCCACAAAAATAACCACTTTTTGAGTAGTGGGGTTAAAAAAATAATGTACAACTAAAGCAGAGCTTGCTTTTAAATGAACAAAAAACATTTTGAGTCTCTTGAAACATCGAAACATCTCCTTTAATTATACCTGTCGTTTTATCACTTACACAAAGAATATAAACTAGTCTGTTTTTCTCTTACATCTAAATTCATTAAGTTCAGTCTTTTTTAAAATGCTTCACCAGGTTTCGTTTGTTAGTTTAAAGGCCTGCATATAAAATCGTTTTTATAGACTACCGATTTCTAGCTCCATGTGCAAACAGGAAACTGCACAGAGGTTTGATTTCTGTTGTGGCTGATGGACTCGGACAAAGGGTGTTGACAGAGACTGGGAGACCCTTTCAGTCTTCACACTTGGCTTTTTTGCAAGCTGGAAGAGAATCATCATTTCCTTCTGATGGCCGAGGTTTCTTCACTGTGGAAATAATTCCAAAAGCAGTTTTCCTAGTTTCTATAAAATGGAGAAGGAAACCACAGTGCTTGAGGTTAAGACATGATTTAAAGAGGTAGTTGAACATGCTGCTTTGACATACAGCACTAGTAAATGATAAAACCACCACAAAATACTGAGTGCTGATGCCATTTACTGTTATTACCCTTCCCCTGCCCCAAATCTCCATTCCTGAGGATTACTCCAAGGGTAAGAGTACAGGCCAGGTTATCTCTAATGGCTCATCCATGCACCTTATATAGCCAGGACCCCAGTCATAGGCCCTAGTCCTGCAAATGCTTTACGTATGGGAGGGTGGATGAATCATGACAGCGAGTACAACAGTCAGTTGTATTTCTCCATGGCCGTGTGTGTGCTCACTTCATTTTACAGCACGTACCATCTCTGTCTTCCCCATCAGAGCTTCGATGTACCTCTGAAGAAGCAACCATGTTTACTGTATTGCCAGTATCCAGCAATGCCTGGTTATGTAATAGGTATTCAATAAATACTTGAGTAATGAAGAAAATAAAATTCATGTGTTTAATGATCTCATACATTGGTGATGATGGATACAAGAAAATAGTATTATTAGATGTGTAGGTGTGATTTACAGCAAAGTTCAACTTAAATTTAGCCAACCTCTAAAAATCTCCCAGTGGGCCAGGCACTGTGTCATCTGTGGAGGGTACTTTTCCTACTACACATAAGTGCATGAGAGGAAATGTAATAGGAGTGGAGGTATCCACAGGAATTAACTCCTCCTGGATAAATCAAGGAAGGTACCATAAAAGACGAGACCCTAGAAATAGGAGGGGGGGGGAGTATTCCGTTGCAAAGGCAAGGAGAGAGAGAGGTAAGGAGAACCTAGTTAGGGGGAATACATGGCTGGTGTGAAGGAGGAATGTGAAAAAATTAGGAGGCATTGAGGCTGGCAGAGTAGCTTGTGAAGAGCCACAATGCAAATGAAAGGAGGCCGAAACTCAGTGCTCAGGAAGTGGGGGCGCTAGAGAGACCCCTAAGCCATGAGAGAGTAGAATCAAAAGAACTCACTGAACATATATTTAGTGAAGAATTATTTCTTGGTCAGCGGTTAGAGCGTCGGCCTGCAGTCCAGAGAGACCCAGGTTCGGTTCCTGCTAAGGACACATACCTCGGTTGAAGTTTGTCCCCGGCACTGGTTGGGTCGTGTGGGTGGCAACCACTCGATGTGTCCCTTTCACATCGATGTTTCTCTCTCTCTCTCTCCCTCCCACTCTATCTGAACAAAAAATGGAAAAATGTCCTCGGGTAAGGATAAAAAAAAAAAAAAATTTCTTATTTCAAGTAATAAAAATAAAGTCAATTTTAAAGGGTTAAGCATTACCTTTTCATTTGTTAGGATTAACTTAACTAGTCTACTATATCTTTGCTAGTTATTTTAAAATATAAAAAAGACAAAACTGCTTTTAAGGTCATTAAAATGTCAACATAATCAGAGAGCCTCAAAATAAATAGAAATTGCCAATGATTTCCATTTCCCCGAGTGAAAAATGTTGCAGTTAGGGATGTTTATTTGTATCACTATGGTCTGAGTAAAAATCTAAAAATCAATTGAATGAATAAAAAATATAAAAATTAAATTGTGAAAACCAACACTTTGTAATAAAACAAAATGCATTTAGTTTCAAAATTCTTTTAGTTCCATTTCAGTAATGGTCTCTTTTTTTAATTACATGAATATTTAGTTCATTTAAGCTGGCAATTATAAATAAGACCTTTATAGTTATCGGATAAAGTAACTCTTTTAGTATAAATCTTTTGGAAATACATTTATTTTTGTAATAGTAAGAAATTATATTTGTATAGGGCTTTAGTTTACAAAGTGTTTTCACACATACTATTTCCTTCACTCATCCTGTCAAGGAAAATATACAACTACCTCTCAAGTACTTATGGATGAGTGCGCTATTTTTTCACGAGGAGTTAAGGTGGTGTCCCCAACAGGTCCATTGTGGTCCAATGTCTGACTGAGAACACCAACCTGGTAACCACTGGCTGAAGCCTCTGGCCCTGAACCACTTTCTTCTGTCCCTTCCCCACAACCTGACAATTGTTATTCACTAGTTTCTGGAAACCTATAGGACCCTCTAATTCTGATTCCCTGTAGCAAGACTTCTAATGTTGAAGGCAGGTAGTGTGTGTCCCAAATGTTCTGTTTTCCAGGTATCCATTCCTGCAATGCTCTCAGTATGCCTCTCGAGGAGGTTTCCAGATGCTCTAAGAACCTATTACCTGTCTTCTGGTGGTGCTCCAGCGCTTTGCTGTCCTTAAATGTGGCACTAAGGATGACAGAGAAGCCAGCTGGGATGTCATCAGTGCAGAGGACAATACTGAGACTTTAAATCCCTTTGCCTCAGAATCCTTTCCTTCTTCTACCATAGCCTAAGGCTAAATGAGCAATCTTAGGAATATACCACACTACCGTCTTAGACTGATCCCAATGTCAACTAAAACCAGGGTGACTATCCTCTGTGTGTGGTTAATTCTGCAGGGACAGCAAGCATAGACTAGTAATGTCCTGGGCACACTAGGATGAATGGTAATGCTACCTGAAGTCCCCAAGTCTTTTAGTTTAGCTCCTATAAAAGCCTAGCTTTACATATATTCTATGTTAAATAGTTCAGTTTTTTATTTTTATTTCATTTAAAAAAAATTTCAATCCATCTTGAGGAAGAAATTTTTCTATTTTTTTTAAATAAACTTCTTTTTTTTGGGTGGTACATGCCTATAGGGGGAACCGAACCCGGGACTTTCTGGTCCGCAGGCCGAAGCTCAACCGCTGAGCCAAACTGGCCAGGGCAAACTAACTTCTTTTTTAAATATGTTTTTATTGATTCCTTAGAGAGAGAGATAGAAACATCGATCAGCTGCCTCCTGCATGCCCCCCCACTGGGGACTGGGCCCAAAGTCACCAACCTGGTAACATCTGGCTGAGCCCAGGCAGGTGCCCTGCCAAGGAATTGAACCAGGATCTCAGTCCATGTGACGATGCTCAACCCACTGAGCCACACCGGCTGGGCAATAGTTAAGTTTTTTAAAGTCAAATGCAGAACCTCAAATTTTTCCCTATTATGTTTTTTTTAAAGTGTCCCTTTCTTGCTTTAGTCTACTTTGTAACACGATTGTTATCCAAACTCTTGACTCCCTACATTCATTTAAAATAGACAAAAATAATGGCAGAACTACCAAAGTGTAAGCCAATTCTTCCCTAATTTCAAGAAGATTTTGATAACATCCTGATTAATTCGGTCATTCCCAGAGGTTAATGTGATGGGTTCTAGGCTACATAACACAACAATCTCCAACTAAATATTTGAAACCGAAAGCAAAATTATTTAATTTATGGTAAGTCAATACAGTAGCCAATTCTCTCAATAAAAATAAGATCACAAAAATCCAGACAAAACACACAAGCCTTCAGTAACTTAACTAGTATTTGTATGCCAAATAACTTTGTCTATATGTATCAACCTATTCTAAAGCTTAAAATTCCTCTAGCTGATAGCAAGTGCATTACTTATTGACCACAACCACCAGTGCTAAGATTTTCAAAAAGAATGAAAATAAAACCGAAAAGTGTAAATTAAAAAATAAAAATAAAACCTCATTTTCAATCTCCAAAATCTGGGCATATACTTCTAATTCAAGTTTTCTCATCTGATGGATAAAACAGTCAATGGCTTCTAGTAGTGGAATTAATATGAAGAGGAAGACAAATGTAAATGAAATGTGAGTAAAAATGTATAGTTTGCATGTCCTTGATCATGTGAATAAAAAAAAAAAAAGCTGTATTAAATGTGGAAAGTTACCATTTGAGTTTGTTAGGTTTTTATAATGCCTTTGTTGTTTTTGTGTTCTTAATAAATGGCATGACATATATTGTTAACATTTGACTTCTTTGAAACAATGATTCAGGAGGGAAAGAAAGCACTCTCCTATGAAGCAGAGGGAGGAACAAGGAAGAGAACCCTATCAAAACACAGGCAGGGATGCCCGGCCCGTGTGGCTCAGTGGGATGAGCATCGTCCCATGGACTGAGAGAATCCTGGTTCAATTCTGGGATGGGCAGATGCCTGGGTTGTAGGATTGGTTCCTGGAGAGGGGCGTGCAGGAGGCAGCCAATCGATGTTTCTATCTCTCTAAAAAATCAATAAAAACATATTAAATATATATAGGAGGGACACACACGCAGAGCTTGAAAGAATGTACTCAGTACTCATTTCTGCAATACAAGCTATTCATTCCACAAACTACAGAAATTAAAGCTTGAAGTGAAGGATGAGAAAGTACTGCTGGGTGTGGTTAAACAGGTTGAGAAAAGACCCTCAAGGAATTCTGCAGGGCAGGACCGTAAAAGTAGACATGGCTCAAGTGATAAAAATGACTGGGTCCTAACATGGTTACTGGATGGTTTTTGTTTTAAATCCACACCCAAGGATATTTTTCTATTTATCTTCAGATAGAGTGGGAGGGAAGGAGGGAGAGGGAAGAAGAGAGAGAGAAACATCAATGTGAGAGAGACACATTGATTGGTTGCCTCCTGCATGACCCCAACTAGGGCTGAGGACTGAACTGCAACCGAGGTACGTGCCTTTGACAGGAATCAAACCTGTGACTCATTGGTTGGCAGTCTGACGCTCTATCCGCTGAGCCAAACTGGCCAGGGCACCACTGGATGTTTTTATTAGAAGAGCTTGCTCACCTCCATGGAGAAGCGCTGCTCGGCAGTTGGTGGACACCGCAGCCTTGGCATCACTTTCAGAGAGCCCAAACAGCAACCCTCTGTGGGCCATTAAGGATTTCAACCCGAGTCAGCCAAGGACAGGAGACTGACACACATACTGACACTGCCCGCCCGCCTGGTCGTGCTGGGGGAGACACTGGAAGTCTACCGCAGGTGTTAGCCCAGATGGAACACACACTGAAGAGGCTCATTTACCTTGAAGCTGTTTAAATACAGCCCCTCATTCTTGTTCTCCCTTTTCTATCTCACCCTTAGACCAGAAAACAAAAGACAACAGCTTTCTACCACCTGATGGTCTCTGTTTCTGAAGTTATTAATTGGTAAATTTACAGTAAAAGGTTAAAAGAAAAATATCTTGTAAAGTATATCATTGCAAATTCCAAATTTCCTAAAAGAAAATTTCAGTAACTTCTTACTCAGAAAAGGATACAAGTTAGCCACATCATATGGACCTCTTATTTCTAAAGGCTAAAATAAATTGAACAATAAATAGACATGAAAGGTTACTTATAACATTTCAATGACTACACTTGTAGTAAATAGAATGATTAAGGTCCAAAAGTAAGGAAGCAACTGCATAAATTTAAGTTCTTATAATTTTTGTTTTCTTAAGTTTATGAAAATATAAAAGAACCCTAAAAAGCATTCTGTAACAGTATAAAGAAAAAAACTATTTATATAAACAAAACTTGAAGCCCAAAAGGAATGAGGATAAATTTTATTCTTCAGCAATTACAATGAGCAAATACAGTTAAAAATGAAAATATGCAATAAACGTTCATTAAATTACTATTTTCATTTCTCTCCTAGAAACGTGTCAAGTTTTATAGCTTGAAAAGCGAAATCAAAGTACTCAGTGGAAGACTTACCCTTTCTGCAGCACTAGATATAATTACATTCTACAAAAAAGAAAAAGTGATCAATACTAATCTTCAATGTTAAAAAAAAATTAAGAAGTCTTATAATACAAATAACCAGTGATCAATCACATTTGAACATTTAAGGCTCTATAAATACCAACTTCCTTTCAAGATAAGGTAAATAATAAAGTGAAAGAATGAAAAGCCCTCATGTCAAACTAAAGGCAGCTTATAAGAAGAAGCAGAACAGGCCTTCCCAACGGATCTTAGAAAAGATAAATTAGTTTTAAAAACTAGTTGAAAAGGTCACATAACCTAAATTCAACTCACTGGACAAACAATTATTATCTAGACTATTCTTTTCACAGTGGTCAAATTGCAAATTCTTTATTGAAAAATAAAGGCTTTCGCCTGGTCAGTGTGGCTCAGTGGACTGAGCGTCGTCCCATGGACAGAGAGATCCTGGTTCGATTCCCGGTCAGGACACATGCCAGGGTTTTCTAGCTCTCTCTCTAAATAAAAAAAAATCAATAAAAACATTAAAAAAAAAAAAGAAGAAGAAATAAAGATAAAGGCTTTCAATATATCTTTCCTTCCCTCACATTATTCTTCTCTCGGTATTTTTCTTTCCCTTAAAAGTTGCAGAGCTCACTGAAATGGGAGATTTGGCCCTGGCCAGTTTGGCTCAGCGGTTAGAGCGTCGGCCTGCGGTCCGGAGAGACCCGGGTTCGGTTCCCGCTAAGGGCACGTACTTCGGTTGCAGTTTGTCCCCGGCCCTGGTTGGTCGTGCGGGTGGCAGCCACTTGATGTGTCCCTTCACATCGATGTTTCTCTCTCTCTCCCCCTCCCCCTCTCTCCCTCCCACTCTATCTGTACAAAAAATGGAAAAATATCCTCGGGTGAGGATAAAAAAAAAAAAAAAAAAAAAAAAAAAAAAAAAAGAAATGGGAGATTTGTTCCTGTGCCTTGAGAACTTTCTGCTTTAAGGAAAAGGAATCAGTTTGATAAACCAGTGGATTAATAATAAACTGCTAGATTTGAAAACATCCTAAAATTATGAAACCATACCTTTCCTTTGCAGACCTGCATCAAATTGAGGGCATTGGAAATTGTGTACCTCCTCATGGTGGAGTCTTTGATAGCAGGGCTGTAGACAAGTTCAAAGCCCACGCCTCGGTCAATTGCCTTCACAGGAAATAAAGAAAATACACCGTCAGGGATAAACACACACTGTCCTACTCTATTTTCACTCAAGTTCCCTCTCCCCTCCCTCTTCACCCCCCACTGCCACCTCCTGCATGTCGAGGTACAGCCTTAAACAAAGGTGGATTTACGCCCCAACAGCACCATCCACAGGAAAAGAAAACAGATCTGTGTCTCTGTTTGATCAAGCGGATTTATCTTAGCTGTGGGGAAGCTGACTTTATATAAACAGGAATCAAAAAGAGGCTATGGAGAGTCAAGTCCCAGTGGGGTGGCAAAAAGGCAAAAATTCCATGAACTACCAAAAGGAAGACTGAGATGCGCTCCCTATATTTAGGGTAAACTGTTTGGAAACACAGTAAACCAAGTAATTTGACCCAAAAATGAAGAAACAAAGAAATGAAAAACTGAAAGTTTTCCAGAGAACAGGGGTGGGAAGGCCTCTCGGTTAAGTCCCTTACTACACGTATGTTGGATGAAGTGGTACAGACAGCCACGGCTGAGCGTTAATGTGTCAGGCGCTGTGCTAAGAGGTTTACGCATGTATTTGGCCCTTATACCTCTATAAGGCATTACGGCAGAGACTGCTTATTGCCCCGATACCTGTTCTCCCCTTTTTCTTTATTAATAGAGCCACCGATTTTAAGCTGGGTTCATGGATGCCCGGCAAAAAGATGGAAGAAGGCTGGGCCCTGGACAATTTCACCTAGCTCGCCATGCTCTTGGCTTTTTACATGAGAGAGAAAGAAACTTCTTATTTAAGGCACTGTGAATGTGTAAGCATCCATACGTAAGAAAACAGCCTGGAAGTGGTGGAGATGAGACTGAAACCCACCACTACGTGTTCAGCTTCCTCTTCAACCATTCACGACAGGGATGTTCTAAGCCGCAGGAGAATGTTGAGAAAAAGCTGACATGGTTCCTCTCTTCTAAATGCTCAGTTTAGTGGGGAGACCACCAGATAAGCCAAACTTCAACTGTGACAGTGCTACCAAGGAGAAGTTTGGAAGTGGATGAGGAAGAAATTAAGTAGCTAAATCGTAGTGGGAGGAGCATCTGCAGAGGGAGGGAGGAGCACGTGGAAAGGCTCTGGGGTTGGAGACAGCAGGGTAACACATAACAGAGGCCAGCGGCCAGGGAAGAGAGGATAAGGGGAAGCCTTGGGGGAAAGTGGAGGCTAAAGAGATGGAAAGTGCCAACTGTGCAGGCCTTTAATTGGTGACAGGCTAATCTTCTAAGAGTAATGGGAAGCATCTAAGGTCTTCAGCATGAAAGTGATAATCAGACTTTCAATGGAAGTCACTTGGTTACAGTGATCTTTTGAATGAACCAAGGAAGAAAAACAGGCACAGACCAGGTAGTATGGTCCAAGTCTCTGCCTGGCAAATGAGCTTCAATTACCCAGAGGAAGAGTTGGGACTGGTCCAGATGTAACTGCTGGAGGTCTACTCCTGAGTGTGTACAGGGAATAGAAACACCTGTCTTCTTCCAGAACTGGCAGCCCACCTTAGTCAAATGCGGGCGTACCTGGAAGGCTCCTTCTACTTATCCTTGCTGAACACAAATTTCCTTGTTTACACCCTACAATCTCCCCTCTCCTTAATTTTTCTTCCAGTCTTGAGGCTCCCACATTTTGGATTTTCTTACATATCTGGTATTAATTTAATTAGCATTTACATGCTATTTTCCACACTATAACCTTCCCCCCTCTTCTGACTTTTCTCCACCTCAATTCTTTGGCTTGAGTTGATTATTTCTGGGAATGATATATGTTATAATACCCTTTGTGCCATAGTTAAATGTACACTTTATTCCTCCTCTCTAGCTTGTACATCTTAAGAGCTGGTGTAATACTTCTTTGTAACTCACAACTGCCCTTTACACAAGAATATAAAGCAGTTCACTACGGATTATCCATCATAAAATATACCCGGATGAACTTGGCAAATTGAAATTCACGGACAAACCAAAACACCTCCTTTAGCAATATTCTCAAAGGTCCCTCTAGCTATTTCTTTTACCAAAAGTTCTAATTAGCAAAGAGGCTGCCATATTTCTTTTCCTCATCCTTCTAGTTGCTAAACTCAAATACAAGGCACTAAGTTGGAGAAGAGAAGAAACAAAAGATACTATTACATACACAACTAGATGACCAAGTCCCTAGATATTCTTAATTGAAAAATAAAATTTTACACCCACCCATGGGGACCAGATCAAAATAAAACTCCTTTTTTTTGGAGGGGGAAGGTGAGAGTAAAAGGAACACAATAACCAGCTTAATTATTTTTAAAGAAAAATAGTTCTGATTTTGATCTTAATACATTAATCAAGTTTACTTTAAAACTGCTAAGAAAACTGAGACAGAAATGAGAGATAATGCGCTTCTGAAGGTTGTGAACATTCCTTTCCTAACACCTTGTTTTAAAATTTTAGACAGATAAAACACAGACTCATTACCTGGGCTCTTGCTTTTAATACCATGTTAATGAAAACTGCCTTAAGCTCATCAAATGATTGTTCCTAACAGCCTTCTCATAAAGAACGGCAGCGCCTGACTGATTGGCTTTTGTTTGCTTCTCTGACCAAAGGTGCTAAAATAGGGAGATCTCTTCACTAATGACAGTAACAGTCACAACGATGCTACAAACCAAGGGCAGGTGTGCGATACTTGAATCAAGAGATGTAGGTGGTAAAATTCCAAGAACTAAGAACTAAGCAGAGCTTAACAGAATGAGGAGAAAAAGAAAATAGGAGTTGATTACTGGGATAACATATGAATTCCCTGTTATTTTCATAAAAATTAGTTCTTTATTGAATTCAAAGGATGACACCCTTGGGGTCTCATTCCTGAGACAGGTAATTTGTCTCGGTTCACAAATCAGTTAACGTAAGAAAGCAGCGACAAGCTTACTTCATCACTGCTCCTGTCTCCCCACCCCCACTTCCCACCATCACTTACTAATCTGTGTCCTCTTCCAGTTTCTTCATACAAATATAAGCAAACAAATATATATTATTTTTCCTCTTTTGTTTGTTAGTCCTCAACCAAGGATATTTTTCCATTGATTTTTAGAGTGGAAGGAAGGGAGGGAGGGTGGGAGACAGAAACATAGATGTGAGACACATCCATTGGTTGCCTCCTGCATGACACCAACAGGGGCCAGGGATCAAACCTACAACCCAGGTATATGCCCTTGACCGAAAATCATCAAACCCACTCTAACTGCTGAATACCGACCAGGGCTATTTTTCTTCTCTTTTACCCAAAAGGTAGCCTGCTACATTCTTGTTCTGACTTGAAGGGTTTTCCATGTCAGATCATAACTTCTGCATTGTTTTATACGTGCACAGTATTTCACTGTAGAGGTACTGCATGTTTTAATGAAGCCTCTACTGATAGACTTTGTTGTTTCCATAAATTGGTAGAATAAACACTAAAACAGGATTTCTGAGTATTATGGATTGAATTGTCTCCCCATAAAAAGGTATGCTGAAGTGCTAACCCTCAGTACCTCAGTATGTGACCTTATTTGGAAATAAGGTCATTACAGATGTCATTAGTTAAGTTGAGGTCATACTGGAATAGGTTGGGCCCCTCATCCAGTATGACAGGTGTTCTTATAAGATGATATGACCAGCCCTGGCCGGTTTGGCTCAGCGGTGAGAACGTCGGCCTGCAGTCCAGAGAGACCCGGGTTCGGTTCCCGCTAAGGGCTTGTACCTCGGTTGCGGTTTGTCTCCAGCCCTGGTTGGGTCGTGCGAGAGGCAGTCACTCGATGTGTCCCTTTCACGTCAATGTTTCTCTCTCTCCCTCCCACTCTAAATGAACAAAAAATAAAAAATGTCCTCATGTGAGGATAAAAAAAAAAAAAGAATATATGACCATGTGAAGACACAGAGACAGGGAGAACACATTGTGAAGACAAAGGCAAAGATTGGAATTATACAGTTGCAAGCCAAGGATCACCAAAGACTGCCAGCAAACCACCAAAATCTAGGCAAAGAAGGGCTCCTCCATAGGTTTCAGAGACAGCCAGGACCCTGCTAACAACTTAAGAGAAATTTTTTTTCTGGTTTCCAAAGTTTATTAAAAATCAAATAGTAAAATGTTACATAAAAATGTCAATTTTAGCTTCCAGATTGTTGTTCACACACACACAAAAATGAAACACGGTATCTTTTTGTTAAACCTGTAGCATGTGACCACAGTGGTAGCCAGGCCAATTCACTCAGTCCACCCTAAGATCTTGATTTCAGACTACGGCCTCCAGGACTGTGAGGTGATAAATTTATTTAAGCCACCAAGTTTGTGGTATTTTGTTACTAATACAGTAGGTCACAGGGTATAGTTGTTGCCAAATTACCCACAGGCCCCGTGGAGATCGCTCCAATCTGCATTTATAACCAGTACATGAGAATGCCCACTTTCCCCCAGACTTCGGGCAGCGCAGCTGGGTGTATGCCAGATGGGTGATTTTAATGCGAATTTCTCTTATTATAATGAATTCTATGCATCTTTTCTCATGTTCAAGGGCCATTTGTATTTCCTTTCCTGTAAAATGTCTTCTCCATATATTTAATCCACTTTTTTATTTTTCATCATTTAAAAAAATATTTGACTCCTCAATTTCTAGGAGCTCTTTATATATTAAGGAGATTAGTCTATTGTCAATGATATGAGTGAAAACATTTCTACCAGTCTGTCATTAGTCTTTTTTTTGCATTTATCTTCAGATAGAGCAGGAGGAAGAGAGAGAGAAACATCGATGCGAGAAAGACACATCGAGTGGCTGCCACCCACTCGACCCCAACCTGGGCCGGGGACAAACCACAACTGAGGTACATGCCCTTAGTGGGAACCAAAGCCGGGACTCTGGTTCGCGGGCAGACGATCCAACCGCTGAGCTAAACTGGCCAGGGCCTGTCATTAATCTTTTAACTTTATTATTATTATTATTTTTCTATACAAAATTTTGATGCTTTAAGGTTGCTGGCACAGGTCCAAGCATTAGGTCAATGAAGTACTGAACACATTTCAGTTCACGATGTGTGACAGAAATAGTTTACCGAGCACTCACACCCAGTCAAGTACATATGGCCTGGTTCCCGGAGCCTCGCTGCCCAGACGCCAGCTACTGGGCCTCTCAGTAGGGCTAACTGGACCATGAAGGCAGACACGGATCAGGGTTAAAGGAGTGCTGAGGGGAAAACATTAAAAAGAGAACATAAAACATACAATCACAGAAAATAACTCAATGTATTTGAAGTCATTGTTGAATGGCAACAACACTAAACAAACATCAAAGGGAAAGTAAAGGTACACGCAGCTTAAGAAACAGTCTCAAACCCGAATTCATCAAGATTCCATTTTAAAATATGAAAAGACTGTGCCTAACGAGCTCTATTGTAAAGCAATTTTCAATAGCACTTCCCAGTGGTCGGAAATGACAACAGGTTAGAATAAAAGCTTGAGTACAAATCCCAAGTCAGGCTTTTGAGAGAGAAGTTGATCTGTGTGAGTCACAAACTACCTGGGTTTCAATTCCATTACCACAGTGGAGAGAATTCACATCTACCCCACCCTAGACTGTCCCGACCCTAGGGCTGCTGGGCTACAGCAGGTGTAAAAGTACTTATACTATAAATGCCAAATAATTAGGAGTCATTCGATCATTCAGGAAGAGCAGTTAAATTCAATGTTTTAGAATCCCAACTATCACATGAGAGATGTGATCCGTGTACGGGAGTCTCATACTTTGGACTCCGGGAGTCTGCAGGACTTCAGAGGGCATTACGTCACAGAAGTTATGGTGCCCAAGCACGTGAAGGTCACAAGAGCTGAGACTTATACAAACGGAGGGCTGGCACACCTAGCCCTCTTTCATGACTCCAGCCTTCTCAGCTGACAGTTCCCACATGGCTTCCAGCTGCCGGGTAAAAGACTGATGATGAGTTCCTCAGTTCAATCTCCCACTTTTCACCACCACAAAAGAAAAGAGCACAAACCCTTCCAAATGAGATCTGTGCTTCCTCGTGTGCCCAATAAAGGGATCCCTGTAAAGCCAACCTATCAACTTTTCATGGCCAAAGACTAGTTTATCCTCAAGGCCAACGGAGCAGGCAAGGACCAAGACTTGAGACTGAATTATTAACCAGCCCACTCCATGTTCTGTGCTTTCACGGTGAATATATTCTCATACACTAATGTAAACATACAGTCCCATATCCAGATTAGATATCATCAGATACAAATAATGTATACATAGCTGTACAACTATTATTTACCCCTAACAAGCAGCTGGACACCTTTTACTATATGTTTCTAGCTTCCTCTTTTAAATGAGAACTAGGTGAATAAATTAATTGGGACTCCTCTATGTGACCAGCTCACACTGCTGCCTACTTCTACATAAGGTAGACTAAAAATAATCCTGTGCAGTCTTTCTCTCCACTCCATCATCTAGTTTTTATTAAAGAACATATGCAAGACGCTCACACCAGATTTCTTTTAAAAAGCAGACTTTGTGTTAAATACTGCATATCCCTCTCACTTGTCAAATTTTTACTTTTCAGAATTCTGAAGTTGAAAAATGTAGGAATTAAGCCAAAAGTACCATCGAACAGCAGCCTTCCTGAACTTACAGATGGAATCGGGGGTGGGACGTCCTGGTGCTGTCTCCTCGGGATACCCCAGGGCCACCCTTCCCGCACCTGCCCAACACTGACGACGGACTAATGACACAGGATTTGGCCAGGTTCCCCAAGCTGCACTTTGATATGCTAAGCTAGACATATACTTGTTTAACTGAGAAATTTTAGGGAGGATCCCTTACAGGCAAGATATTGGGATATTTAAAAGGACTATGACAGAGTTGGCGCGCTCTGGAAGCTCACAGCCTGGGTTGAATGGCAGGGCATGTTCATAAGAAAGCAACGGAAAGCCCTCACCAAACAGCCATCAGAGAGCTCACTACTGTTGTGTGACATAAGGAGGTACATGCACTGCTGTCCATTCTACGGACTTGGTCTTAGCTTCACAGCTACCATCTCCTCCCAACCAAGGACATAGTACTGTACACCCTTCCTAGTTCACTAGGCGAAGAGAAAGGTCAAGGTTTTCAGTTTAACAGCAGTTTACAGAGCTGCTGCACGGGCTAATTCCCGCGGTGCCATCTACACAGAACAGGATCGACAGGCCGAGGCTGGTAAGGCTCTGCAGCCTTCTGGAGGCAGGGGTTGCTGCTTCCGGAGGAGCCGAGTGAGGCCTGCCCGACTGTCGTGACCTTGGGTACCGTATGAGTGTATGCCTTTCATCACAGGCAGCTGGGCCACGGCAGAGAGCTCACATGACAGGGAGCAGCAGACTGTCCCGACGCTGGCACTGGAGAGCTCAGTGGCTTCTCCTTGCCAGTCTTCATTTTACCACATCTGACAAGTGGGCCGTTAAACCACACAGATCTCCCACTCTAAATGCAATGGTTCAGTTCTTATTTATTTTTAGTGTTTAATTATTTATTTATAAGCACTGGCAAGCATGTGGGGAAACAATGATTGGAGCCCAAGCAGTATTTTCATGTGCTCACTACTCCTCTCAATACTCATCGGAAAAGAGCTGTTTTATAGTAGTCCCTTTAAATATATGACTTCGAAATTTTGGATACTTTTCAAGTATAGTTTCAGTGGCATATTTTTAGGGGCAGAACATAAGCCAAGTAAAATTTTTCCACACTGAATTCCATTTTTATGCACGCTACTTATCAGTTTTCTCCTCACTCTCTCCCTGTTCCTAGAATCGAGCCAACTCTGAGCAGCAGAGACCGGCAACCAACTTGAGGAGGTTGTGATTCTAGAGACTAAAGAATTGGGGAGTTATCTACCTTGAAAAATATATATATAAAGTTTTAATCTTCCAATTCTGACAGGATTAGGCATGCAATCTGTTTATTAAACTCCTTTTCTCCTTCCATAATACTTTCTGAGAATGGAGACGAAGCTTTGGAAGCCACTCTTCTGAAACAGCACCCTCCCCTCTGAGGATCTGGCTGCCAGTGCAAACAGCTGGCAGCTGTGTGGACCTTCTTGTCAGGATGTGAAGTATCACCTTGATGATGGAATAAGGCTTACAGACCGCGTGACAGATGAACGAGGAAGGGCAGGGAAAACAAGAGAAACTATGTAGAAAGGCACCATGTAGAAAGGTCATGAGAAAGATGCTACAGCAGAGGGAGGAACGAAAGTGCCCTGAGTGAAGGCTGCCCTCCTAGACTATTATAAAGCAACGTGGACTTCTGAGTAAACCAGCTTCAATGCAGACTGTCCTGTGCATGGCCCACGCCCACTGTGCTCTCCAAGCCCTGCTCGCTCCTGCACCTGCCCCCAGCTCACTGGTGCCTCAGGAATCCCCTTCATTTTCCCCTTCTTCCTTCACTGCTCGGACCCTTAGTGTTCAGTGTTCAGGCTACAAGTGTCCAACACTGTTAGTTTTCCTTCTAAGAAATAGACTTCATAAATGTTGGTTTGTAAGCCTTTCAAAAACATCTCCATAATTTACTGAATATTTTTTATTTTAAGCATTCTTTCCCCCTTTAATTAGTTTACAAAAGTAAAAATCCTGTTTTAAAAAATGATTCTTATTTATTACCTAGCCTTTGTGTTTTTCTTCTAAGAACAGTAGTTTCTTCTGCCCCTGGTCCAGCTTGCTAATCTAAATTTCTAAAGATTCAAGTGTAGAATGGAAACTGTAACACTTACCACATTAATAGGGGGTCTTTTGAAGTAAAATGGTAATTTCTCTGTGACAGTTATGCAGACTAAATCCACATCTAAATGTGTACAAGCAACCTGTCGAAAAGAAAAAGAGGTAAGCTCTTGTTTGTAGCTCTTTGGAGGTCGTCGGCTGCTTCAGGATGAAGCTGAACATCTCTTCCCCAGCCGCTGGCAGCCAGAAACTCACTGAAGTGGACGGTGAATGCAAACTTCTACCTCTTATGAGCAGCGTATGGCCACAGAAGTTGCTGCTGATGCTGTGGGTGAAACATGAAAGGGTTATACGGTTCCACTCACTGGTGGGAATGACAAACAAGGCTTCCCCATGAAGGAGGGCATCTTGACCCATGGCCGTGTCCACCTGCTACTGAATAAGGGACATTCCTGTTATAAACCAAGGAGGACTGGAGAGAGCAAGTGCAAATCTGTTCGAGGTTGCATTGTGGATGCCAATCTCAGTGTTCTCAATGCGGTCATTGTGAAAAAGGGAAGAAAGCCACCCCTGGTCTCACTGACACTACTGTGCCTTGTCCCCTGGGGCCCAAAAGAACTAGCAGAATTCACAAACTACAAACTTTTCAATCTCCCAAAAAAAGATGATGCCTGCCAGTATGTAGTGAGAACGCCCCTAAGTACAGAAGGTAAGAAACCTCAGACCACAGCACCCAGGATTCAGCATCTTATTACTCCAAGCATCCTGCAATACAAACATGGGCGTATTGCTCTGAAGAAACAATGTACTAAAAATAAAACAAGGAAGAGGCTGAAAAATACCCTAACCTTTTGGCTAAGAGAAGAAGGAGGCCAAAGATAATCACCAGGAACAGAATGCAAAGAGAAGTAGCTTCTATCTCTAAGTCTGAGTCCTGTCAAAAATCAGATTTTCTAAGAGTAACAAATAAATGAGATCAGACATTAAAAAAATAAATAAAAAAATAAGGGAAAGCCAGAAGGGAAATTCGCACGTTAAGAATGGGAAATAAGGTCAATCCTGACATAAAGAAATATAAACAGATACTGCTCACTCCAAAGGTGTTATGATGGTTCTGTGTTGAAATACACCTGATGAAATACAAAGTCAGTGGTTAGCCATTCCTTCAGGTTTGGTTTGAACAGTTTAACTGTAATCTGGCTGAAGCAGTATGACATGTCCACAGACCCTTAACAGACAGGACCCAGAGACCCTCTGATTCAGGGTCTGCTATGTAAGAATGGGTTGGTAAGACAGGCTCGGTTTGTGGAAGGTTAGACTGCTCTAGAAAGGGAAAACTGTCTGAAATCCAAGAAAAAATAAGCCAAAATGCTCCACTTTTTCTGCAAATCATTTAATTTTGTGCTAGGAATTATCTCAGGCCTGTGGTTCCTGCCAGTCTATTGAGCGGCTGAAGGAACAAGAACATGACACTACCAATGGCATTTTGCTCAAATACAGATGACAACAATCTCCATATGTGGTCACAACAGAGCTGTTACAAATCAAATGATACTGAATGCATCTTTCAGCTTTTAATTTCCCTGACCTGTGTCCTAATTTTTGCTTATAGACCAATATCCTGCATTTACATACAAAGGAGATTTCAAACTGCTTACAAAAGCTGCATGCAAGATAAACAGATAAGAACATCAGGATAAAAGGAAAATCAGGGAAGGAAAATACATTTAGGAAAAGGTTACTAGCTTAAGAGTACAGGCCAAAAGACACTGCTAGAAGATGCATATCTGGCTCTGATTTTGCCTCATTTGATCTACAGTGATGAAGAGAATTGGCCGTTTTATACTGTATTAAAAACAAGACATATTCACAATACTGGCATAAGCAGAATCGATGAACAAATTCAAACGGCCAGGTGGCTCTGCTGACAAACCAACACAGTGGCAGGGACCAAGGGAAAGGACAGACTAAGGAAGAAGGAGTAATAACAGAGATTCCTTCTTGGTCACTCCTACCCCCATACTCAGGCTCCCGGGCTCCCTGGCTTTAAGACAGTCCTAGTAACTTAGTAAGCCTGGGAAGTAATGCTGTTTTGGCAGAAACACTTGGCTCATTAAAAATCTTCCCCATCCCAACCGCTACAGCTGTCCAACTCATAAAAGAGTCATTGAAAATGTAATAAGAATGGATGAAGAGAAGCTCTGAATAGTAGACAATACAAGTTCAGCTTCTGTTCACCACTCTATCAGAATGGCAAAGATCAAAAAGTTCAGGAATACACTGCTGACACAGGAATGAACACACAGGCACTCACAGGACCCTTACATCAGTACAAGGTCTCGGAAAGTACTTCAGTAATAGGTATCAAAATTTGAAGTGTACACACCATCAACTTCACCTACAGGAATGTATCCTGCAGACTCTAGAAATATATTCTATAGCTACATACTCTACAAATGCTCAAGGATATTAGTACAAAGATAGTAACTGCAAACACCAATCACAAAAGACTAGTAGCCATTAAACATGCATCGATTTTACTTAAATAAATTATAAACAGTCCCTTTATACAGTAGAATATGCTGATTCCTAAAAGAGAATGAGGTATATCTCTAACTGACATCAGGGAACGCTCTCCAAGATACACTGTTGGGTGAAAATAGCATGGTGTTACATAAGAGGGGGGGAGGAGGGAAGGACTAGGTAAACAACATTTCTGAGAAGATACACAGAACTGGTAGCAGTGCTTGGCTCTGGAGAAAAGGAGAGGAAGTTTTAGGTGGGAGAAAAATATACTTTTCAATGATTACCTATTTGTACTGTTTGAAGTTATTATCATGAGCAGAAATTATTTTTCATTAAAAAAAGCTGATTAATTTTTTTGTAAACCCTCACCTGAAGATTTTTTTTTCCATTTATCTTCAGGTAGAGTGGGAGGGAGGGAGGGGGAGAGAGAGAGAGGAAACATCGATGTGAGAGAGACACATCAATTGGTTGCTTCCCGCTGGACCCCGACTAGGTCCGGGGACCAAACTGCAACCATGGTATGTGCCCTTGACCAGAATTGAACCCAAGACTCTTTGGTCTGTGGGCTGACGCTCTAACCACTGAGTCAAACTGGCCAGGGCTGATTCTTTTTTTTTTTAAAGGCCTGCTAAACATTCTTCCCCAGACTTAAGTTAAATTGGGCTCCTTTTCACTTATGCACTGGTCCTTTTTTCCCTATCCTATATAACTGGCTAATTAACTACCGCGTTGGTTTAAGTGCATGCATTACAATACACTTTCAGTAACAAAGGGCAGCTCCACTTGGCTCCCTCTGAAGCCTCCAACTTAAAATGTCTCAAACTGAAGAATTCATTTGCTCCTTAGCTTTCTATTAATCCACATGTTCAATTGATACATTTAGATAACTATAAAATAAGAGTGTTGTTCACATTAAAATAAAATACTTTCTAAATCATTAAAAAAGACTATATCCAAAGAATATTAATGATTACGAATCTCATTATAGTGGTTTTGGCAGGTTGTATATGAATTCATACCAGTTGTTCTTAACTTTCTTTTTTGGCCAAGGTTTCCTATGAGGATTTAAGGAAAGAGTATTCTTTTTTATTTTTATCCTCACCTGAGGACATTTTTCCATTTTTTGTTCAGATAAAGTGGGAGGGAGAGAGAGGAAGAAAGAGAAACATCGACGTGAAAGGGACACATCGAGTGGCTGCCACCCGCACGACCCAACCAGGGCCGGGGACAAACCACAACCGAGGTACATGCCCTTAGTGGGAACCGAACCCAGGTCTCTCCGGACCGCAGGCCAACGCTCTAACCACTGAGCCAAACCGGCCAGGGTGGAAAGAGCATTCTCAAAAAATGCACATATATACTCATACACTTAAAACAAGGGGAACAGGAGGACAGGGGTTCAAAATGGACGTCAGGTTAACATTATCTCGGTATTTTATAATAAATATTATGCAAAGGGAACGTCAAGCTTACCCTGATAAAAGAGAAATGCCCATAAACAGTACCTCTCAATCTAAAGTGTGTTTTAAAAAAAAAGCAAAACCAGAAAACTGCCCTGAAGAATTTATTAAAAATGGGGATTATCAACCCCACTCTTAGTGATAAATTCAGAAGTAGGGCTGAATCATCCTCATTTTAACAAACGTCCCCAGCAATTTTGAAGCTGGGGGAGCCAGAAGCACTGTCCTGAAAAACCGCCCCTTTTCCCGGAGCCTGAGGTATTGGTAGCACACTCAACAACAGTACTCTTTAAGGACTTTGGAAGCAGGAAGCAAATACAACTTTTATTTCCATTTATTTTTAATTCACTCTCTTAAAACTTTTGCTTTGTGTGTGTATATTACCTTTTGAAGCACACTGTTATAATAAAATATGCAAATAATTTATAAGAAAATAAGCATACAGCCCCGGCCGGTTGCTCAGTGGTTAGAGCATTGACCTGTGGACCAAAGAGTCACAGGTTCAATTCCAGTCAAGGGCACATTATCTCGGTGTGGTTCATCCCCAGCCCTGGTTAGGGTCCTGCAGGAGGCAGCCAACTGATATGTCTCTCTTGCATCAATGTTTCTTTCTCTCTCTCTCTCTCTCTCTCTCTCTCTCTGTCTCTCTCTCTCTTCCCCCCCCCGTTGCCCCTCCCACTCTATCTGAAGATAAATGGAAAAATATCCTTCAGTGGGGATTATAAAAAGAAAATAAACATACATATATTGGGGGTGAGGCCTCAATATTTTTTTTGAATTAACAGGGTGCACAATCTAAGTTGTTTGGAAGCCACTGGACTAAATAACCTGAGTTCACCTCACCCTGTCCAGTCACTTTAACTCTTAAATGGGAATAACTAACACAGAAGCTCCTGAAGCTTCTCTGAAACTCTCTGCCACATTCCACCCCAGCCCACCCCCACACCAAGAAGCCCTGCCCAGTGGACTCGCCTCACAACCTTTCATCTTTGCCTTATTCCCTGGGGTAGCTATGCAGAGGAAGGGTTTATCTACGAGACATCTTCCAGACACTCTGAGTGGAAAAGAGTATGCTATTTCCCATGGAAACAATGCAACTGAAGGTGGTTAGATTTTATACTGCTAATTGCTAACATGTGTGTGTGTGCATGCTTTTATGACTCATCTTAGAGACCTTGGTTTCAGAATATCATATCTACACCTGTTAAATCAATCAACTTTCAAACCAAAAAATAAAATCAATTACAGGATACAACGTCTTAAACCACAAACTGTTTGCATTTCACCTGATTCCAGACCATGATATACTTTTAAAAGCTTTATTTAAATTGCTTTTCTATAGAAAACAGGTAGAGCACTAACTTTGAGTCTTAGAGAATGGGTCAGAATTGGACAGATAAGAGGAAGTTGTTCCAATTTTAAAAACTGTTTTTATGTAATTTTTTTGAATATGTCTGTACAATCAAGTTCAAATACTGTGTAAATTATATAGTTTTCTTCCCTCTTCCAGAATACTTCTGTTTCAAGCATGTGTTTATTTTAAAAAATTTGAATAGTCAGAAAAAAAAAAGATAAACAACTAAAATTGCTGTATGGAATTATAATGTACTCTAAAACCCGAAAGTCCTAGCTCTACTACATACTACCCATGTGACAAGAAGCAGATCACTTAGCCTGAGCCTCAGGTTTTCTCTTCTATGAAATCGGGAGAGTAAGAAATATGTGTCCCAATTATCCCCCGGGAATGTTGTGTTAAAGGTAAAAAATATGTAAGTCTTTGGAAGATTGTATAAATGTCATGTTTTAAGAGTTCTGTTTGTTTCTCTAAACACTAGTAAATGGCTATGAAAATGTAAGTTATATGCTCTTAGAAATCAACTTTGAAAAAAATGTAGTATGAACATTGGTATGTTACCAACTTTTAGTGTACAACATAACTGAGTTGCTACTTAATAACAAAACTAAGTTATGCCTGGCTGGTGTGGCTCAATAGTTGAGCGTCGACCCATGCACCAAGAGGTCGCTGGTTCAACTCCTGGTCAGGGCACATACCCAGGTTGTGGGCCCAACCCCCCAGTGGGGGACATGCAGGAGGCAGCCAACTGATGTTCTCCCATTGATGTTTCTATCTCCCTCTCTATCTAAAATCAATAAAGAAAAAATATTTTTAAAAAACTAAGTTACTACTTAACATATCTGGGAACTGCCCATGCTCCTCATACTGTACACCAAGGCTCCATTAATGAATCAGAATCTCCTGTGGAACTTGAAACAAACAGATACCCAGACTCGATCCAAAACCTACTGAATCAGAATCTCTAGTGGTGGGGGCTGAACACCCCTGATTTTAAAAAGTTCCACAGGGGTCTCTGATGACTAAGAACCACTACCTTCTACTGACCTCCCCTTTTTTTGAAACAAAATTGAAAACTACTATACTTGAACATTTTATGAAGGAAGTCATCAAAGAGAAAAGTTATTCATAGATAAGTTGTGCTGTTCTCCTGCCACAATATACACATTTAAGAATTAATCATATGCCTTGAAAACTGAAGTCACCACACATCAGTCTCCTTTGTCAACAGCTCCATCTACTGGACAAACATGGGTAAAATCTTCCTATAATTTTAGAACAGATTTTGCCTAAAAATGAACTATGCTGTAAAATTAAACCATCAAAGACCAGTCTTATTTCCCCCCACGCACTATCCCATTGGTGAATATACTTTTTGAAGATGGACACTTTTTGGAACCCAAAGATAACATTCAGAACTTTCTAAAAGTATTTATATCTCATTTTACAATGTAAAACATATTTCTGAAAAACTTTATTACAGGTGTTATTTTTCCTTTGCTGTAATCATATGAAATGCCCCGTATGTTCTGTCTCAAGTTGATAAAAATGAGCATACTGGATACACAACTTTCCCTCTTGAAAAAAATAACAAAAACGGCAATTTTAAAAGTACAAAAGAAATGAAATTCATAGACTCTCAGATCAGGAGGGGGATAGTATCAGCAGATGACTGATTTTAGAGAATTTCTAGAAGTCCGAGGCCTGACATGATCTTAGCATATGGACCACACCTCAGACCATGCACTGGAGAAAGATCAGACAGAAGTAAGAACTTTTATGACACAATAGAACCTCATACCTTTCTTCACTAACGGGCAGCAGCATATAGCAAGAAGGGCAGAAATTGGAGTGATATTAAAGCTGCAAAGAGAGGGACCAACACTGACTAATAGACATTTCCAAAGATGAATGAATGAATGAAGCAGAGATAAAGAAAGAGAAGAAAACGTGATGGGCCGTTCAAATCTGAGCCTATCAAATGTCCAGGAGGAGAAACAAAACCACATATGCCACCTAAATACACCCTGTGAAATTCCAGAGCCATAAATGAAAAATCCTAAAAGTTTCCAGGGAGGGCAGAACAGATCACCTACAAAGGCATAACAATCAGACTTCTTAAAAAAAAAAAATAAATAAACATTGTTTTCTTTTACTTAATTTGTTACTTACATGAAAAAGTTTTTCTGTCTTTGGAAAAACTGCAACAATATCATACAGCCGGACCCTCGAAGAAGTTGCTCTCTAGTAATGAAAAGAATTTTATCATATAGTATCAAAAACAATACTCATGGAATTCTGCCCAGTGGCCTGGCTGCACACCTCATATACCACTGACATTTTTGCTTTGTTTTTTATGTTGGCAAAGAAGCTTTCTAAGCACACGAGAATTTAGATACCAATATCCATTTCAACAACCTTCCACCTTCCTTCCTACACTGTTACACTTTAACCATATATCAAACATTGTGTTTGAGATACAAAACTCTTAGATGGCCCTTGCTTTTATAAACTAGCAGAGGAGTCTGCCAGACACTGACTATCTGCTGTGTGCAGGACTCTAGGGGTACAAAATCATTTAAGGCATGTCTGCCCTTCATGGAATTCCCAGTTTTGTTGGGAGACAAGAAATACACTTGACTAAGTCTGAGACAATTAGATTTATAATGAGAATACTGTTAAACAGAAATTAAACTGCTAGGTGTGTAGGAAAATACCGGAGAATCCAAGGATAGAAAGAGAGAAATATATCAGTTAAAAATAAAGAATTACTATTTAAAAAAGATAATATCAAACTTATATTGTATGTGTATGTGTGTGAAAAGACTGAAAAAATATGTCTTCGAATATATAATCTCTGAATGATGGAATGTGTAATATTTCTTCTTTGCTTGTTGGCACCTTCTAAATGTTTACAGCCTCTTTTTTTTTTTAATCCTCACCCGAGGACATTTTTGCATTCATCTTCAGATAGAGTGAGAGGCAGAGAGGAAGGAACAGAAAGAGAGAAACATCGATGTGAGAGACACACATCGACTGGCTGCCACCCACATGACCCCAACAAACTGCAACCGAGGTACGAGCCCTTAGTGAGAACCGAATCTGGGTCTCTCTGGACCGCAGGCCGATGCTCTAACCGCTGAGCCAAACCAGCCAGGGCAACACAGCCTCTTATTTTGTAAAAAGAAAAGGCATAATAAAAAGTAGAGCAGGACAGAGGAGGGTTTAAAAGCAGCAGCAGGTGCTGTGTTTAAGCAGGTAAGAGGACCTGCTGGGCAGACCTGTGCTGAGACAGGGCAGGCTCCAGGTTTTAGAGAAAGCCAGGGTCCAGGATTCTCTGCCCTCTGCTTACCCACTCCCACTTGGGAAGGGGATACAAAGGGGCCATGAAGTTCACGATAACAAGAGTAAACAAAAGTCTCTGTAACGTATAAAAAAAAAATCAGTTCCATTTATGTCTAACTGGGCTTATAAAACCTGAAGACTGCTTTGTAGCTGTATATATACCACAATTGGTTTTCTAGAACTTTAGCAATGCTAATTGTTTTTTTTTAAATCCTCACCCGAGGACATTTTCCCATCTATCTTCAGATAGAGTGTGTGTGTGGGGGGGGGGGGGGGGGAGACATCAATGTGAGAGAGACACATCAATTGGTTGCCTCCCGCACGACCTTGACCAGGGCCAGGGCCCAAACCACAACCAAGGCATGTGCCCTTGACTGGAATCAAACCTGCAACTCTTTTGTCTGCCAGTCGATGCTCTGACCACTGAGCCAAACTGGCCAGGGCAGCAATACTAATTGCTATAAAGGAGGCTAGCCTTTGCTTGTTAACGCCTGTTCTATGATAGAGGAGTCTACTCTAGCTAAAAACAGCTTACTTTCTCAGGGATCTCACGTTTTCTCTTCTCCACTAGCTCCTTCTCATCATCAGCAGGTATAGTCAAGTCTCTCCCTGCTAACAAACAGAATCTACACAGCAGGTTCTCATCCACCAACATTATGCCTTCTGTTCCCCCATGGTGTCAAATTCTCAAGCAAAGTCAGCAGCACACAGTGATTGCATTTTCTCACATCCATATCATTTCTATAAACATGGTTTTTGCTATGGTAACCAATGGCTTTCCTGTCGATGCTCACCCAGACCAACCTCCCTAGCCTCATCCCAGGTTAGCCAGCTCCGTAGGCTCAACCCTAGTGGTAGTGTTTCATTTCCCAGAACACATCCTGTTTCCTTAGCTTCAGGACCTCTGCATAATCCATCCTGTCTATGAGAACACTCTCTCCCTCATGCAGCACCTGTATAACACTCACTGATTTTTCTGGCCCCACTTTGAACATCAACTTCCTTAAACTGGTTCCCAGAGCATCCTTTATTTACTACCTCCACCTTTATTAGATATTTCTCGCAGATATAAAAGGATTGTGTCTTGCTGTGGCTGGTTTGGCTCAGTGGTTTGAGCATTGGCCCGTGGACTAAAGAGTCACAGGTTCGATTGTGGTCAAGGGCACATACCTCGGCTGCAGTTTGATATCCGGCTCTGGTCCAGGTCATGCAGAAGGTGGCCAATGGATGTCTCTCTCACATCGATGTTTCTCTTTCTCCCCCCCCCCCACACTCTATCTCAAAATAAATACATACATACATACATACATTAAAAAAAAGGGTTGTGTCTGGCCCAGCTGGAGGTGGCTTAGTTGGTTGAGCATTGTCCTGTGCACCAAAAGCTTGTCAGGATACATGCCTGGATTGCAGGTTCGAACCCTAGTCGGGACACATACAGAAGGCAACCAACTGATGCTTCTCCCTCATATTGATGTTTCTCTCTCTCTCTCCCCCACTTCCTCTCTCTAACCATGTCCTTGGGTGAGGATTTAAAAATAAAAAATAAAAGGACTGTGTCTGTATTATTCACAGCAATATCCCCAGCATCCACCTTATGTCTGGTTCATGTGAGTTCAATGACTAACAGTTTTCAAAGAACTCACATACTGTGGTATCCTCTACATGTGCCATGAGAAGAAGAGATTCTTCTATATTATGTGAATTCTGAGGACAGGGAGAGCAGGCAGACATCATTCACTGGGGGTAGGAGTGTAAGAATAGGGTGAGTTGGAAAACAACACTTTCAACATGAACCAATACAACTTACAAGCCCAAAAAGAGAAGAAAGATAATTAACTTACCAAAACATTGCAGTGAGATGGATCCGAAACAATAATTGTCAGTCTAGTTAAAATTTTTATCGGTCTTGATTTTCCCTACAATCAAAAACATGCCATCAAAAAGCACAAAATACAAATGACTGATTTTCCTCTTCACCAGTGGAAGTGTTCATTAAATGACACCAGCAAAACGGGTAGTAAAGATCAGTAAAACTTAGTCTTCATTCTCAAGGAATCCATACTAGAGCTAGAGAAAAAAGATGTATGTTAACCTTCACAATGAGACCATTTAAAGTTTGCAGGACTTCAGGAGAGAAGATTACCAAAGAAGTATGGAATTGATAGTAGGAGAATGTTCCACGGAAGAGCTGAGTCTCGATGGAAAGGTAAGACTTGTAGATGGAGGAAGGGGCAGCTCAGGGTAGAGAACCATGCATGTCATTGGGTGTGTTCACACTGAACGAAAAGGTATTTTGCTTCTTAAACAATAAAACACCCACCTGTACAATTGGCAAAGTTGTAAAGAGTTCTGAAACGGCTACTGGCTTTTCAATTTCCTACAACAAACAATAAACAGTCACCTTTGATTGTACATGTTAATGGGACAAAGCATAATGGGAAACTTAGGAGGGTTGCAGAAAAGATAATTTAAAAAAGAAAGCTAATTTCTAGTATTCAAAAACACTAAATTAGCCTTTTTCTTAAAAAAACTGAAGAAAGCTGAAGAGCAGAGAAGCAGCTGCAAACATGAATAGGAAGGATGAAAAGTAGTTTTTAGACTGAAATAATCTGTAAGGTACAGTTGTTGGCCCGAAGAGAAATACATATATTTACTAATATAAATAAACATATTTACTAATATGTTTATGTTAAGAAGTACGTGACAGTTAAAACAATTAAATATTGTGATTATAACAATAACAATGCACTTTTTAAAAAAAGTGACTTTATTGAAAGTGAATTAACATCAAATCAACTTTAAGAATCCTCACAGTACAAAAAAACATTTGCACAAATATGCATCAACTCCACTATTATAAAATAAGAATAGTGCAAAGAGTGCATTTATTTTATTTTTTTAAATCCTCACCTGAGGATATTTTTCCATTTTTTTGTTCAGATAGAGTGGGAGGGAGAGAGAGGAAGAAAAAGAGAGAGAGAAACATCGACGTGAAAGGGACACATCGAGTGGCTGCCACCCGCACAACCCAACCAGGGCCGGGGACAAACTGCAACTGAGGTATGTGCCCTTAGCACGAACCGAACCTGGGTCTCTCCGAACTGCAGGCTGATGCTCTAACCTCTGAGCCAAACTGGCCAGGGCCAAAGAGTGCATTTTAAAAATTTTTTGAGAAAATGTGATTATCTGTAGGTTCCATATTACCTACATAAAAATAATTAATTATAAAAACTGGATATGATTAAGTTCAGAAAGTGTACTTTACCTGTTTCTTTTCCTTAAATTCAACAACGTGATTGATGGCAACAACTGAATAGCCAACTGAAAAGAAAAAATTGAGCATTCTTCTTAAATACACTTTTGGCCACTAAACATTCTCTTTCTTTTACATATACGCCCATCTCACTTCTAGATGTCAAGACTAGGAGGAACTTTACATAGTGGTATGGGTATGGGGCTCTGGTGTCAGACTACCTGCTTTCAAATCTAAGCATCACCACTCACAAGTTTCAGTTCTTCGTCTGTCAAAATGGTGATAACAGAACACATCATGCACCTGACATGAGAATTAAATGAGATAATACACATTGGGTGTTTTCGAGCAGTGGCTGGCACATAGTTAAGACTTTGTTTGACCTCTGTGATATGTTAATATGATACGATACATCTTAAACTCTGTGCGTCTTCTTTCCAGCTACCATTCTCTTTCATGTTTCTTTTTTTCATTTTCATCCCATCAACTTTATACTTTTTCAGCATCATCTTCATTCTTAGGCATTTTTTTTTTTTTTTCTCTTTCAGCCTCAACACAGATCACTGTTCTGGGCATTTAGACTACCAAAAATATGTCTAAATCATGACTTCTATCTTTAAGTTATTTTAACACCAGCGGGAGGAGTGGGGGTGGGAGGGCAATGACAGGATATGAAAACATAATGCATATTAGTGCCAAAATAGTGGTCCTCACTCTCATCAGTTTGTCCAATTTCCTTCCTCACTCAAATATTTATTGAGTATCCATTACTTGACAGGCCGTGTGCTAAGTGTTGAGAATACAGAAAAACCAAAAGATAAAAGAGAAATTTGCCTGTACAGTACTTTGTGCTTCACCTTTCACTCAGTCAAATCAACCAACTTTCACCACCACCACCCTCACCACCATTCTTCTTTACCATACTCCCAAGTCTACTTTAAGCTTTCTTATTATATCCACTTGGGATACCCTTTTAGCTACTAAACAATGTCACTACTATCCTTCAGAAATGTCAACTAGATTCAATTACTCCACAAACTTTTCCTAGTTTACTCATCTGGCATCTTAGGATTATTTCCCCAATCAGTCTCTGGTGTAACTTTTATTTATATAGCATATTTCTGAAGCATATCATTGGTTTCTTACATCACATCATAAACTAAGAACCAGGGCTCTATCTTCTCTATTCTTTGAAAATTCCCACTCACCAAACAGCAGTCCTTTTTACCTTTGACTTATAAATTGGAGTGACTTTCTGTCACATGACTTCTCATGTAATTTTAACTGTACACACTGGGTAACAATGTATACACACTTTACCATATATCCTTCAAGCATATTTTAAATTGGGGTAATTTTCTAAACAAATCATTATAGCTTTACTAATTTATTCCATTAGCATTAACAGTAACCACCATGTACCAGGGCTGCTGAGTGACTGTACTGAGCACAAAAAATAAATAAAAAGAATGAATAGAAAGACATGGCCCCTCTCTAAAGAATGTCATGATTCATTCAGTAAGGGAAGGCACCAGGAAAAGCTTCGTTGAGGAGGTAATACAACACAAATTACACCCAGAAAAATTAATTTTAAAGAAACCATCATAAATAGTATCGCGAATAGTATTCTCAGAGACAATGCTAATTAGTGGCTGCAATGGAAAGAGAAAGTCATTTCTCTACAGATACTTCATAAAGAGGACAAGAAGAAATGGTGTAATCCACTTTGCCAAGGTGCGATTTTTCCTGGCGCCATCTCTTTAAAGTATCACTACCAGCTCTCAGAGCTGAGAACTGAGGAATGGATCTTCCTGCATAAAGCTCTTTAAACTCTTCTAGCTCCACAACTAAGGAAGAAAACAGCAGTCATGATTAGTTCCAATAATTAAAACAGGTTTTTATGTCTCTGGGCTTTCGCATTAATTGGATTCAAATATGAGCACCCTTCCAGCATTTTGGCCATGTTGTCCCCCTCCCCCCAATATATCTTCTTCTATCTACCCTTCCTATAAATATTATGCCAAATATTATTCCAACACTCATGTCCCTCCCCCTTCTCCGGGCTCCACAGTACTCCTCGTTTGTGCATCTGCTTCCCGCATTTGCTCCTGACACTGTCGTTAAGTGGCAGGCAAGTGTTGACATTAAAGGCACGAGCATAGGAGATTGCATTTGGAAGCCCTGGCTTCTACCATCCTTCAGCTGTGGGGCCCTATACAAATCCTCCACCTTCTCACGGCCTCAGTTTCCTCAATCTGCAGGGCAGAAGAAGCTGGACTGGCTAATAGCTCCCCAGTGCCTTTGAATTTCCCGCGATCGGGATCCGAGCAACACCATGGGAGCCATCAGCTTCCAGGGGCACCCCAGAGACCCGAACGAGTCCCAGCCTCGCCAAGTCCCTCCCAAACGCGGCCCGACAGTCTGAGGGGCAGCGAGGCTTGGCAGGCACGGTGGACCGCGAAGCCAGAGCGACTCACGGTGAGCGGCGTTTTCCACGAGCCCGCGAAGCGCCTTCGGATCGGAGCCGGCTCGCAGGTCCAAATCTGCAAACACCGCCATGCTGAAGTCACATGACCACCCGCGCGCCCGTCTGCGCAACCGCTGGGCCCGCCCCCTGAGGCATGCTGGGACTTGTAGTTTACGTAAGCAGTCACTTGCCTCGCCTTCAAGTACCAGCAAAAATTAGTGTGTCAAAACCAACAAACAGACCCACTTTACTCCTTCTTTGTGTTCTTCTGAATGATAATTTTTGGTTTCCCCAGGAGAAATGCAAACCTCCCACCATTTCTCCTATTAAATGGTGTATAAAGTGATTCTTTAGAAATGTTAAGAACACAGTATTTATTGAGTGCCTACCATGCACCAGTAACTCTCGCTAAAAGCTAGAAATGCTTTTTTAAAAGACATAAATAATCCGTTTTTCTTTTCTTCCCTTAAAGTCCATGCCTTTGTTCAAAATGAGCTTATCGGGAAGAGGGGGACTCCGACCTTAAGACCTCCAAAGAGGACTACTGCCTGAGAACAGCAAGCGGTCTTTTCCGCCCAATCAGAACTGGCTGTGACGTCGCACGCTGCTTTCCATCACACTTAACGTCTGCAACCACAAGGTGGCAGGGCTCTTCCGAGGATGCACGGTGAGCTCCAACACTGGCGTGGCAAAAGACAGGTTTGATAAAAGAGGAACGAAATTGAAATATTTTCCAGTTTTCCAGTAGATAAATGTTCAAAGTGGTGTCAACAAAAGTTCGCTGCCACCAATTCAGTGACAACAGGAATCCCAGTCTACCAGGTAAAGGATAAATTTTACTAAAGTACAGTTTGCAAACGGGAAACCCAGCCTCCAGAGGAAATGGAAAGTGGGCCTCCCCTTTGTGGGCCTCCCTTGAGATAAAGGGGAGACCCACTTACATACAGACAGTACCTGCCCTGGTCCCTGATTGGTCTCTATTTTTGCAGATTAGGAATACAGATTTACACAGTTCCATTGGTCCAAGTAGCATGGAACCTATTGGTCAGAATCATACGTTCTGATTGGTTGTTACGGCGCAGCTCTGATTGGTCAGTAAAGTTGCAACTGAGGATAGAGTTTCATATCTTTGGTTAACAGGGCAATTCTCAGCCCACTAGTTGAAAAATGATACCAGGAACTCCTTTATAAGGGTTATTAAAATGGCGCCAACATTCATTGAGCACTTTACAGAGAGCTGGTCAATGTGCTGAGTACTTATCTACATACCTTATTTAAATTTCAATGCAACTGTGAGTTAAGTACTTTTTTGTTGTTTTTTAGGATTTTTCTTTTTCTTTTGCAATAAATGCATTTTACATCTGCAAAATCTACGGCTTAAATGATCATGGTAGAAGCACATGTAGATTCAGGCAGTTTGGTTCAGTTCTCACTTTGTTAACAGTTCCGTGGGCAAAGCAAGCAGAGAGGACAGTTGGAGGATGTGAAGGGAGGAGGGAGGGAGGAGGAGGAAAAGGAAGAAGAGAATGGAGTGCTGGAGGGAGAGGAAGTAGGGCAGGAGAGGAAGGGAAAGGAAGTGGAAGAGGGAAGGGGAAGTGGGCAGAGAGAAATGATAAGACAGAATAGGGAACAGAGAAGAGGGGCAGATGTTGGCTGGGCGGGTAGCAAGGCAGCAAGGCTCTGGACATTTCTGTCTGGAAAGTAATAGTACTGTATAATTACTTTAAGTATTTTATATTCATTATCTAATTTCATTCTCAAAACCAGCTAATGAGAGATGTGTTCTTTCTTTTATATCAAGGAGGAGTCCTGGGCTCAGAGAGGATGGTTCTTGCAGCATTGCCTCTTCCTTGGGAAGCTTAGAAAGAGAGGATGGGTTTTGGCATCCAAAGCAACCTTTGAGCCCATCTCAGTCTCCCTGAGTACCTTTCTCGGGCTGGCCCATAAAAGTCAGTGCACTCTGGATTAGTCTTTGCCCTTATCCTCTTTTCATTTGTGTCACCTTTCCTGGGTGGGCCAAGACACACTCCACTGGGTTCCTGTCCTCTGGCAGCTGAGATGGAGCAAGACCAGAAAGCAGTATTAAAACATAACTTACGCCCTGGCCTGTTGGTTAGTGGTTAGAACGTCTGCCAATGAGGGCCAATGAGGCTCAGGTTCGATTCCAGTCAAGGGCACGTACCTTGGTTGTGGTTCGTCCCCAGCCCTGGTCAGGTGGTGTGACATGAAGGCAACCAGTCGATGTGGCTCTATCACATTGATGTTTCTCTCTCTCTCTCTCTCCCTCCCTCCCACTCTATCTGCAAAAATAGTAATAAAATAAAACATGATTTGCACAGGTGTGTCGAGAGCATATGACAGGGCCTTCTCTCCCAGATTGAGGGGGTATTTTAAGAGATTTATAGAGGATAAAGAGTGACTTCTGGAGGACGTAATGCTTGAACTAAATTTTGATGCATGAAATCGAGAAGGATTAAGACACAGAGGTCTGGAGTGTATTCAGATCTGGCACAAAGTAGGACTCAGTCAAAAGTTTCAGATTTAATTATTGAACCCAGGAGCTATTGTTCACCTTCATACCCACATCTACACAACTGCAGCATGGTTAGGCATATTCAGTTACCTAAACACATGGTCCCAAATCACTGAGCTGTGCATGTTGTGCACTGGCATGGTATATCAGCAACTCAAACAGATTACAGTTGTCCCTCGCCACTTCGCCTTTCCCGGCTTCACCCTATCGCAGTTGTCTCAAATATATTCATTAAAAAGTTGACCGAGACCGTGAATATGATACAGCGCGTGCTTCATTGTCTGAGTCAATTACACAGCCCTGTATTACAATTGCAATGAAAATTACTGTACGTATGGATTGTAGGCCTATGTATTCGAGCACCCAGGAATCCTTCAACGCCAGGTGCAACCGCTAGAGTCTGGCATGGATTAACCGTAATAAAAGAGGGATGACTGTATCTCTCTCTTCTTCCCAATGATGATGCATTGAGATGCTCTTCCTCCAGGCAGACTTACATTTAACCCTCTCCACCACATGCCTGGTAAATTGGTGCAGTAAGCTACCTGCTCAACTTTCCCCAGAGGCTCTGATAGAACATTCTAGAGGAGTTCATTGCTAAAGCTAGAACTCTAAAGGAGTTCCTTAGGATATCTCCAATCCAGGAAGCTTCTCTCAATAATTCCTCCCTCATCTTGCCTTCCCCCAGAAACTCCCATTACTGACCTGATACCATGAGGACCAGTTCATTTTCTGAGCTGGGGTGGTGCATCCCTGCTTGCAATGTTAGTTTTTTTTTTAAGTGCAATTAATATGAAAGTGAACATTTTTTATCCCTATGATTCTATAAAAAGTTTGAAAATAAAAGACAGATGGATAAAACTTGTATAAAAATCAGCATCATGAAAATAAAAGATACCTTTCTAAGACACAATGTATGTCTGAGAAAAGAATGCAGCTTAAGACATGATTAATGAAAAAAATCAAAGACATAACTATCACCGGTATATGGAAAAGATGGGTGATGATAAACTTAATGAATGGAAAGAAAAGAACTAAAATTTCCACAGGGTTGGTTTTTCTTTTTTTTAATTAAAAGAAATAAATTTTTTTTTCCTTTATTAATTTTTATAGAGAGAAGAGAGGTAGAGGGAGAGAGAGAGAGAAACATCGATGAGAGAGAACATTGATTTGCCGCAGGGTTGTCTTTTTAATGCAAGTAAAATAAGTGACTGTATTAGTCAGGGTTCTCCAAACAGAACTAAGAGAATATATATACAAAAATAAACACGAGAGAGAGAAAAATTTATTTTTAAAAAGGAATTGGCTCTCATGACTATGGAGCCTGACAAGTTTCAAGATCTGCAGCTGGCAAGCTGTAGACGCAGCAGAGCCGATGGTACAGTTCTAGTCTGAAGACAGGCAGGCTCAAGACCCAGGAAGAGCTGATATTTCCATTTGAGTCCAATGACAGGAAAAAACCATTGTCCTAGCTTGAAGGCAGTCAGTTAGGAGGAATCCTGCCTTACTGGAAGAAGGGTCTGCTCTTTCGTTTTACTCAGGCCTTCAAGTGATTGGATGAAAGCCACCCATACTAGGGAGATTAATCTGCTTTACTCAGTCTACTGGTGCAAACATTAACTTCATTCAGAAGAAACCTTATTCACACACCCAGAATAATGTTTGATCAAATATTTGGACACCTCATGAACCAGTCAACTTGATAGGTAAAATTAATCCTCACAGTAATGTGGTCTTAAAATTGTTGCATATTTTTGCCCTGGCCAGTTTGGCTCAGCGGTTAGAGCGTCGGCCTGCGGTCCTGAGAGACCCGGGTTCGGTTCCTGCTAAGGGCACGTGCTTCGGTTGCAGTTTGTCCCCGGCCCTGGTTGGTCATGCGGGTGGCAGCCACTCGATGTGTCCCTTCACATCGATGTTTCTCTCTCTCTCTCCCTTCCTCTCTCTCCCTCCCACTCTATCTGTACAAAAAATGGAAAAATATCCTCGGGTGAGGATAAAAAAAAAAAAATTGTTGCATATTTTTTAAAAAAATGTTGCATATTAAGTGAAAAACAAATTGCTCAGGCAACTAATACTTTTTACAAGGAATATATATTGAGGCAAGAGAAAGAATAGGTCCTAAACAGAAACTAGATTTGTTTGCAAACATAGTAACTATAATTTCTATTACTCAGTATCTTGAGAATATAGCTTAGAACTTCTAGGATATATTATATAAAAAACTAAATGATCTCTAGTATTTTTTTTTATTGCAGCTGATAATCAAGTAAATATATAAAAGCTATTTGTATTGTTGAGAATTTCGACTTGACTAAATCTTTTGGAAATGGTGCTTAAAAATGGCACATCATCAGGAAGTGACTTATTTTTGTGTATGGAGAAGAATTTTGAGAATTTTAGGGTAGACTTGTCAGAATTGGTAACCATGGCTAACACTGACTCCTGCCAGGGCCAGTGTTAACATCAGACTTATACAACATAAAAAAATGTGACAAGATTTTGCCAAGACAGAATTTTAGCCAATTTATTATACTATTAACCAGAAACGATATTGAGCTCCAAACTTAAAAACTATGTAAATAATAGCCACGGTAACTAACCATGCCTCACACACAGTTCATACTCCAAATAGCTGTAGTGGATGCTGAAGAAATGTTCTGCTGGAAGATACTCATTTATTAAGTTTTCCATGGAAGTTCCTTGTGAAATTTCTATTGGGGAATAGATTCCCCGCTAGGGGGTGTGCATGTACCATCTACAATCCAGAATGGGTGGTACAAAAAACTGAGTAATTAAATAAATAAATACGTGTTCTTGGATCTATCTGTTCTCTGGTTTTCTGTTCATCTTTTTAAAATTTTAAAGGTTACATTTATTTTGTAAAGAGAATGAAAAATTTCTAAATGGAAAAAACCAAAGGGAAAAAAGTACTTTTTTTTTTTTTTTTAATAGTTAGGGATAATGCGGATAAAAGCATAATTAAAGGGAGCATGTATCTAAATTAAAACAAAACTCTAAGTCACTTTATTTTTTTTATTATTATTTTTAATCTTCACCCGAGGACATTTTTCCATTTTTTTGTTCAGATAGAGCGGGGGGGAGAGAGAGACACACACACACACACAGAGAGAGAGAGAGAGAGAAACATCGATGTGAAAGGGACACATTGAGTGGCTGCCACCCACACGACCATCCAAGGCTGGGGACAAACTGCAACCAAAGTACATGCCCTTAGCAGGAACCGAACCCGGGTCTCTCTGGAGCTCTAACCACTGAGCCAAACTGGCCAGGGCCTCTAAGTCACTTTAAGTTGAGTAATTCTTTTACTTGAATGACTCTTGGTTATAGGCATTATTCTGTACTAAATTTTTTCGACAAACGTTTATTAAACACCTACTATGTGTCAGGAATAAGAAAATACCCTAGCCTTTGGGGAGCTCATAGTCTAATGGAGAGGACAGTTATGTAAATATAAGGTATAATGCAACACTAAGTGCTATAATAAAGATTTGAAAAATATGCGTTAAGAGCCTAGAATGGAGGATACTAGCTATAGTGAAGTAATTGTCACAGAGAAGGAGATATTCCTGTTTCTTTGACTAATGGCTTTTATTCGAACTGGGCCTCCCCAATATTTCTGTTGACAGATTTCAGTCTTGGTCACTAAGATGTGTATTCTGTTTCTATGCTACAGCTCTACAGCCCGACTGGCAGCCACAGGGTAGTATTTGGATGTTTAAACACAATAATCTTAGCACTACACCTGTCTAAGCACTCTAGTTTTCCTAGTCTTTTCTCATTCAATTCTGGGGTCAAGGGACACCCAGACAATTAATTTACTTTAGTTATGCAATGGGGTATAAAAGCGAGCACCCAAAAACTTTTGAGAAGTAAACCAGTAGTCCTGTAGGAAGTCAGTTGCATTGTCATTGGAAATTAGTGGAACCCCAGGCAGCATGACATTAGTATGCTTAACTGACTAGTGGGTTACTAATGATTCCTATGGCATAGAAAGCTTTCTTTTACTTGTGTTTCTTAAATAAATCTAGATTGTCAGAGTGTGCTGGCTTATGGGAAAATAAACTCTCCGATGCTTACGTTCTATAGATGCGATATGTGGTTCTCTATAGATGTGATTAAACATATCCAATTTCACGAGCTAGATGAATGGTACCTAGAAGAAAGAAGAGCTTATAAAAAGCCAATTCTGGTTGTAGGAGCTGCTGGGCTGTAACCCCCTAGAGCAGTTTTGAGAGTGGGGGGTTGCCAGCTGAGAGATTACATCACAATGCTGTAATTCTCAGGTGCCCTCATTGACAATTTAATGGGAATGCAGTTACTGGAGATGCGAGTCTAGACAAGGTTTGGTACTTTTTAAAGCAGCAGTTATTTTTTAAATGAAGCAAACAAAAGGAATAAAATTTAAAGACATGGTTTGACATAGATGCCAACACTTCTCTAGTTATCTCCAGTGTGAGTGCCAAAGAGTGGGCATGTGGGTGGGGAGAGCAGTTGGGGGTCGTGGTGGTGAAGGAAGCAACACCTCAATATAGATTTTAAAACACCAGGAAACCAAGGGCAAAACAAATAAATTTAGATGAATGTTGAGGTATTTTATGAGTATTTTTTGAAGCAGTATCTTTAGCTTTTCTTTGGAGAAAATTATGGAAAAGCATACACAAGATTTTAGCATTTTTATGAAGATAGATTGTTAGTCAAAATGAGAGGGAAACTGAAAGAATTCCAGACTATTCTGTCAGGATTTTGGAATAATACAATGACAGATGAAACTTAAAGTCAACATAAGCAAGGTAATGCTGCAGAAGCTGAGATTTTCAATAACTATGTTTATACATCATGACAGCTTATAAATTAAATCCTAGAACTCTTAGGAAATACACTCAGCCATCAGCAAGGATAATATAATAGAGGTGACTGCTCTATAAAAAGGGGAGTTTGGACCTGATGCTGTATTGAAATGGGAGAGGAAGTGAATTGGAAAGTAGCATTTTGCTATTTGGTGAGTCTGTATATCCTACGGTTAGAAAACAAAAGCAAAAAAAATCAGAAGTTGCTATGACATATAAGTGGATTGCGTAAAGGCTGGTAAGTGTGCAGGTGCAAATTACATTGACTGTAGATTCAAATAAAAACAAAACTATTGCTTTTCAAATTCTTTGTATAATTAATTTAAATGGATTATTATTTAAAAGACAAGACAAGCTGACCTGATTAGAGTACTCAAGGAAAAAAAATAAGTAAAAAATATTTTGTAAAATTTATTATCATAATAAATTTTTAAGAGGCCTTGAGACAGTTTTAAACCTCAAAACAAACAAACAAACAAAAAACTGAAACATTTCAATGCAGTCATGTCTGATCATTGACAGGTCATTAAACTTCTGCCAGTCTCTATTTCCCTCTCTGTATTGAAGAGTTAACAAATGGTTTCTCAAATGGCCCTCTACTACAAAGTAGTTTTCTTCTGTCTGAAATTATGTTTAATATTAACATAAGTAAAGTTGAAGAAATTTCTGCATCCATCTTCTTAACTATTAAATAGTATTGCTGTGTGGCCTACATATTATCTTGTACTCTTCCTCTCATTCAATGTATTGATATGCTTATCCCAGGCAGAGGAGAGCCCCCTGACATTTTCATAATATTGAGTGAGCTGTGAACATTGGTCCACCTTTCAGGGATTTTGTTTTTTCTACTTCAAATTTTGCTTTTGAATTTGTATAGGGAAAAAATATGGATATAGTAATGATAAGAAAAAAAAAACCCACAAAAAAACACCCTGAGTTTGAAACTTATATTTACTAGTTGATGGCAATAGCAACTGTGTTTCCTTATCTGCATAAATAGGTGTAACACCCATATTAAAGAATAAGAGTATTATTCAGCATTCACATCAATACATTCTGAGCTTTCTGTTCTTTTTCTTTATAATCTGCTAGGGTCTAACTAAAAAAAAAAAATAAAGATTTAATTATTTTTTAGAGTCTTAAACTAAAGAAGTCACTGCTGGCTTCCAATAAAACCTTTAAACAAAATAAAGTAAGCCTCACAGATAAAAATCAGCCACTGTGATAGCGTTTGAGTACCACGGGGATTTTAGGCAATAGGCATTAAATCAACACACACCTCCAGAATTCTTGTGCAGAACACTGTAACCGGTCATTTATTCGTTTCTGTGCAAGATTTCCAGGGAAAGTTAACGCTCCTTTCAACATATTAAGCTCTGAAGTCTGAGTCTAAAAGCAGCAGGGTCTCTTTTCACAGCTCCGGGTCTGTTTTCGATGCCTGGAGGGTTCATCGGAATGTGTGTAAGCCCCCCGCTCCCCCTCGGTGCCAGGACCTGAAGGCATCTTTCCCTCTCCCTTTTCTTTCTCCGAGATTCCATCCCTACCCCATCCAGGTCCCTCTCCTTTTCTATTTTCGCTTTCTCCCATAAGTGGTCAAAATAGGAAACGGAAGTATCTATTTGTTGCTTGGTATAGTGCTCGAAAGGCTGTTTTCATTAACAGGAAAAATTCCTCTCCGGCGCTTCGCTGTGCCGGCAGCCCGCGCGCCCGCTGGCCCCCAGTCCCCTCCGCCGAAGGTCGCTCACTCCTGGGAGGAAGCGCGGGTCTGGCGGAGGGCTGCGCCTCCCGCCGCCAGAAGGACCCGCGGGAGAGCGGCGCGGGATTCCCGGAGGCGCGGCGAGCGCCGTCCCCCGCCCTGCACGGGGGCGCGGGGAGGCGGCGGCCCCTGCCCGGCGGGGAAGCCCGTTCCGGGCCCCAGGGGCGAGGGCGGCGGCGGCGGCGGTGGGGACGCGGCGCGGCTGCCGCAGGGGAGCGGCGGCGGCGGCGGCGGCTGGCGCGAGGGGCGGGGCGCACTCCGCAACTTCTGCGCTGCTTCCCCGGCGCTCTCCGCCGAGCCGCGCGGCGCCTGCGGGCTGCGGGCTGCGGGCGGCGGCACGGCCAGCCGAGCCCAGTCCGCCCGCACGACAGCCTGCGCGTCCCGGGCATCCGTCGGGTGCCCGAGGCGCCTCCTGCAGGGAGTCTCCGCGCGGCCGCGCTCCCGCCTTGTCCGCAGCGGCTGGGGGTCCGGGACGTGCGGGGCCGCAAGGCCGAGCCGGGCGCCCCCCAGCGGCCGGCGCGGGCCCCATGGCTGGGCCGGGCGGAGCGGAACCGGCGAGGTGAAGCCCCTGGGCCGGCAGCCGGAACGCGTGGCGGGGGTGCCGGCTCCATGGGCAGCAGCGCACAGCAGCACGATGATGGACGTTAACAGCAGCGGTCGCCCGGACCTCTACGGGCACCTGCGCTCTGTCCTCCTGCCGGAGGTAGGGCTGCCGGACCTGAGCCCCGACGGCGCCGGCCCGGTCGCGGGCTCCTGGGCGCCGCACCTGCTGCGCGGGGTCCCCGAGGTGACCGCCAGCCCCGTGCCCACCTGGGACGTGTCCCCGGACAATGCCTCGGGCTGTGGAGAGCAGATCAACTACGGCAGAGTCGAGAAAGTTGTGATCGGTTCCATCCTGACGCTCATCACGCTGCTGACGATCGCTGGCAACTGCCTTGTGGTGATTTCGGTGTGCTTCGTCAAGAAGCTCCGCCAGCCCTCCAACTACCTGATCGTGTCCCTGGCGCTGGCCGACCTCTCGGTGGCCGTGGCGGTCATGCCCTTTGTCAGCGTCACAGACCTTATCGGGGGCAAGTGGATCTTTGGCCACTTCTTCTGCAACGTCTTCATCGCCATGGACGTCATGTGCTGCACGGCCTCAATCATGACCCTGTGCGTGATCAGCATCGACAGGTAAGGGCCGGGCACCCTGTCCCGGGGTCCGGCTTGTGGATGTGCTTGCTGGTAGCTCTGCCCGCTCGCCTTTCCTGGGAGGGGGTAAGCCAGGCTTCACGGCAGGATGAAGAGCTGCGCTTAAAATGTCCCCCCCCCCCCCCCCATCAACCCTACACCAACCAACTTCAGTTACAGCAAAGCCTATATTCACCTTTAAAAGAAGAGCCTGGACTGTTCTGGTTTACTCTAGTGAGGATGTTAAGACCAAGGTTAAGAGTATTTCAAGCATTAGCAGTTCCACCAGGGGGTCCCTTGTCTTGGTTTTCAGGAGGAAGTCATTTGGTCCTTTCTGAGCTTGACAAACCCTTGCTGTGAATCCTAAAGAGTGAATTCTTTAAGAAATCTGTCGGAGGTAAGTCACCTTGCTTCCCTGATTGTAGGATCTGCTCCCCAGGCCAATGAAAAGACCAAGGTGGTCTCAGAATTGGGGGTCTACATGTCTTAACTTTGCACCCCTATGATTGCTAATTGTGAATCTCATTCTTTTGGAAGTCTAGTTTTAGCGTTTGGCAACGCAGTTTGCATCCTTGTAGGCTCATTGACTGGAGCCTCACTCCCTGTCTGAATGGTTGGTTCTAGCCTTTCATCACATTCTTTGGGGATTTTCTCTTGAGAACTCTCCCCACCAGAGTAATTGAAACCATAGGCTGACCATCTGTCAGAGAGGCTGGGGAGAAAAATTCCTGCCTTGGGAATCAGATTGGACTAGGAGATCCCCATACTCAAGATTACAGGATTCTGCAGTGGAACCAGTCTTCGGCCCTAGAAATACTGTGCAGTTGACAACTTGAAGTATACTCCCAATACTTTTTGGCCACAGAACAACTCTCTGCTTCTCTTGAAACTAAAATATTAAACCTTAATATTGACACTCAGAATTCTGTTGGTATTTTAAAACCAGCATAGAACTGGTATTCTGTGGTTTAATGATATAGAGAAATGGTTGCTTATTTTCTTTGGGGACCTACAGAACCTTTAAATATGTAGACCTTTAAGCATAGGAGAAATAATTGATGCCTCCACACTTTAAATGACAGTGCAAAGGATGGTCTGTCAGGAAACTGAGATATTTTTTTCCCCCTTCCTCCCTGTAAACACTGCTATTTGTAGTTTGTTGATATTTAACATGTTCTGTTATTTTACTTCTTGGCTATGGTTTATAATAACTGAATAAAGAGAATGATAGGAAAGGGAATATTTTCAAGGAAAAGAAATACATTGTAGCTGCATTTAGTTAAGCAGCTAGATTGTTTTTTAAAAAGTGGATCCTGCCATTTTATATATTACGTTAGGAGCTTCTGACAGGAAACAAGGAATTATTTTTAATAGTAGAAGATGAAATGCATTGAGAATATTAGCTCCAAACTTGACAGCTGATGTTCTGAATTACTGTAGTTAAGAATGTAAAAAACATATGCATTTTCAGTCTGGTTGTGGCAACAGGAACTAGGAAAGCTCACTCAATATATATATAGTGAGCATAAACATGAATTATAAGCGCAAAAATCCAACTGCTCAGCCAACCAAAACAGTGCTTCTTGCATGAATGGAATCCTTTTAAATGGAACTTGGTGTAGTAAAACAGATAACAATTTATGCTGCAAGTAATGCATTTATAATCTGTTTTTCATTTCATAATTGATAAATGATAAACAACACAGTGTGCTATCTCGTCTCCTAAGACATTCAGTGCTTCTGTTCTGGGCACATCTGGGTTTGGTTGGGACCACCCTGAGATTCCCGTACATGAGCTAAAGGTTTTCTTCACTCAGTGTGCACGTGTGACTTACCAGCAGTAGGAACATCTTGAATACAGAGAAGAGGTTAATCCCTTTTTTTGTCAAAAATTTCTTATTTGTTCATCATTATATCCTTATGATGTCACCAATTGTGGTTATACAGGGATATAGATTTTGTCTCTTCATTTCCCATAAGAATTGTGCCATTGATGATTTCTGCATAAAAATTATTTTTGAAGATGAACATGTCATTTCCTAACATAATGTGAAGAACTGATAACATTGGGAGACACATACTACTTTTCTTCCAAGAACACACAGAACTAAAAATGAGATAAAGGAAAATACATTTGCATCTAAGGTGAATTATTTTTGAAAAGATTGTTTTCTTCAGTTCCGGTGTAGAAGGTGATCAATGATACTAAAATGTGCTAAGAAAATATGAAAAAATGTTATCATTCATTTATTCATTCCCTTTTGAGTATCTAATGTAGGTTATGCTGTGCTTTGTGCAGCATAATCGGAGATTAATAATAATATTCCTGCTTTTGAGCTCATACTATATTGTGACAGTTTGGATTTCTTTTGGGCATTTAACCTTTGGTTCATGGAACCCTTGATTTTTTTTAACCACTCCCCACCATACCGGGGTGCTTTTTCAGCCTTTTTCAATGTGAGTTCCTGCCATTTTTCTTCACAGGTTTCAACACTCCCCATATCCACCCTTTTCAGATAATGACTCATGATCATTGAAAAAGTAGCAGCCATTGGATGGGGAACTCCCTGTCTTTCCACCACCAAACAACCAACCTTTCCTACACGTACCCTTTTTATTTCCTTCTAGTTAAAAAGCAAGAAGACTTTATGTCGCAGCAAAGATCAAACCACCTGCACTTCACATCCCATGACCTCTCCCCTTCTTGAGGATTTGTTTCTTCCTTAATTCCTCATCTCTTCTTTGTCTCCATTGTTTCCTCTCAACTAGGTCAAGCTTGGCCTTCTATTTTTAAAAATATATATTTTTTTCTTTATTGATTTTAGAGAGAGAGGAAGGGAGAGGGAGAGAGGTAGAAACATCGATGAGAAAGAACATCGATTGGCTGCCTCCTGCATACCCGCCACTGGGATTTGGCCAATAACCTGGGTGTGTGCCCTGACCAGGAATCAAACCGGCGACTTCTTGGTGCATGGGTTGATGCTCAGTCACTGAGCCACACTGGTCAGGCTTGACCTTCTACTTTTAAGAACTCTTTGGCCCTCATTTTTTCCTCCAGTTACTGGTCCATTTCACAGTTTAGCTGTGCCCACAACCTCTCTTTGTTATTCCTCAGATAGATGAGTTTGACGCTCAGTAGTCTACAGTTCATTGGTTCTCCTTCTAGGATGCTCTTTTAAAAATAGAAATCAAATGACCTTTTATGTACAGTTTAAAACATGCAAAAACAGTTCTATATATTGTTTAGGCAAGCTTATATAAGAGTAAAAGGACAAAATAGTGCAGAGAAATGGTGAACACCAAGTTTGGGAGAGTGGTTTATCTTTGGTACAGTGGGTGGAGGTGCGCTCAGGGAGTAGCACACATAGCAACTATATTGGTAGTGTTTCATTTCGTAATCTTGGTGGTTAATACAGTCTTGTTTTTCTTTGTATAACTTTCTGTATGTATGAAATACATTTGAAAACTTTTTTTTGAAATACATCCATGTAATCTGCAACTAGGTCAAGAAACTGAACATTACTAAGCTCCCAGAATCCTCTCCTGCCCCTTCCCAGTTTCTGATACTCCTAAAGATAACCATTGTCCTGACTTTTAGCATCATAAATGAGATTTGCTTGGTCATAACCTTCTGTAAATGGAATAGTATATTATGTACTCGTAAATCTGTTTTTTTTCTTTTCTCAGTATAATGTCTGTGTGATTCATTCATAGTTTTTAGTTTTTACACTGTCAGTATTTTATTCATGTTTTTTTTTTTTTCTGAGTAGTATTCCATTTAAGTTTCTTATCAATTTACCTGTAGATGGACATTTGAATTATTACCAGTTTTGGGATATTACTAATAGTGATTTTATACACATTTATTTGTGGACAAGTCATTTTGTGGACACCTTTTCATTTCTTTCTTTCTTTCTTTTTTTGGCACGTGCCCCTAGCCACTAGGGCCTAGTGGGAACTGAACCCGGGACTCTCTGGTCCTTAGGCTGACGCTCCAACCGCTGAGCCAAACCGGCCAGGGCTGTTTTCATTTCTTTTGGGTAAATATAATACTGGATAATAAGGTACATTACTACATTTTAATTCTATTTACCCCTCACACCATTGGTGTTATCCTCGTCATGAATTTTAAAATACATATTTAAAAAACCCATTAGGTGTTATTTTTATTGTTATTTTAAACAATCAGTATTCATTGTCTATTTACCCACCTGTTTACCTTTTCCATTGGTCTTTATTTATTTATTTTTTTACATTATCATGCTTTCAACTAGGATTATTTTTTTCTGCCCAGTGAGATATTCATTAGCATTTTAAAAAAGTGAATGCTGGTAACAAATCTGTTTTTATTTGTTGGAAGATATCTTAATTTTACCATCATTTTTGAATGATACTTTCTCTGAGTATGGAATTCTCTATTTGAGGATTTTCCAGCACTTTAAACTATATTCCACTGTCTTTAGGCTTCCATTATTTCTGTTGAAAAATCAGCTATTAATCAACATTATTATTACTCCTGAAGAGAATGTCTTTTTCCTCTGGATGTTTTTAGGATTTTCTCTTTATCTTTAGTTTTTATCAGTTCTTCTCTGATGTCCCTTGGTTTGGCATTATTGAATTTTGTTGTTGTTTTGCTGTCAGCCCTGCAGGAATTCTTAGTAATTTCTATATTTGTCCATTGATATTTCTAATGAGTTTGCTATTATATTTTCAAATACTTCTACTGTGCTTTTCTTTCCCCTTTTGTGTTCAAGTTTACATAATTTAAACCTTTTTACACGATTATACATCTCTTATACTCATTTATTTTTCCTTTTGCATTTTCCTCTGGGCTTTACTTTTGAAAAATTTTTGACTTGCCTTCCAATTTATTATCTCTTCTACTATATCTAATCTGTTTCTCAGTCTTATCTATTGAGTTCTTAATTTCACAGTCCTAGAAAGTTCCTTGGATCCCTGTTTTGCATTTGATCCTGTTTATTGATTCTAATTCTTTGACGAGA